TGTCCCACTCATTTTACAGTTTATTGTAAAATCTTTAAACCAAAACCAGACATGAACTATACGAGAACAAAAATTGTAGGTATCACTTTGAATTGTGAGTGTATAAAACCTAAACGAATTATCAGGCTAACTAAGTATATTACACTTTAGTGGGGTTTATCCCAGGAACTAGAGAGGGTTCTGTTTTAGAAAGAAACATCAGGTAAGTTGACCACATTAGTGGACGAAAGGCAAAAAAAATAACATGATTATCTCAATAGATTTGAGACAGTATTGAATATAGTGCAGTACCCACTTCTAATGAAAGTTCTTGGAAATTTAGGAATTGAAGAGAACTTCCTCAATCTGACAGGGGCTGTCCTCTAAAAATCTACAGCAAAAATCTTGCTTAATGGAGAAACTTCCTTTGGAGATCAGGAACAAGACAGAGCTGCTCGCGACCACCACTACTGCCTAGGGTAGCAGCAGAGGTCCTGGCCAATGAAGTCAAACGAGATGCCAATGAGGATAAGATGGGGAGCAAGAAGACAAAAATTATTATTTGGAGATTTTAAATGTATATAAATAACCTATGAGAATTAATGAACAATTAGAACTGTAACACATTTCAACAACATTGCCCAGATATACCTTTTTGTGTGTGTGTGAGGAAGACCAGCCCTGAGCTAACATCCGTTGTCAATCCTCCTCTTTTTGCTGAGGAAGACTGGCCCCAAGCTAACATCTGTGCACATCCTCCTCCATTTTATGTGCCTGCCACAGCATGGCTTGACAAGCGGTGCGTAGGTCCGTGCCCGGGATCCAAACCCAGGAACTCCAGGCTGCCGAAGCAGAGCGCGTGAACCCAACCACTGCACCAGCCCTGGAAATACCATTTTTAATAACTGCAAACCCACAAAGTAATCTCACAAAAAATGTACAAGACTCTTATAGGAAAAAGTATATGATCCTAAATGTGAATACAGTCAAATTTGAATAAAGGGAAATATTCTGTTCATGGATGCAAAACTTAATATTGTAAAGATGTCAGTTCTCCCACAAATTAATCTATAAATTCAAAAATACAGTCATGCGTCACTTAATGACAGGGACACGCTCTGAGAAATGCGTTGTTAGGTGATGTCATCATTGTGCAAACATCATCAAGTGTACTTACACAAACCTAGATGGTATATAGCATACTACACACCTAGGCTATATGGTGCCAACCTTATGGGACCACCATCAGATGTGCGGTCCGTCGTTGACCAAAACATTGTATGCAGCACACGACTATATAACAATCACAACCCCAGGAGGATTTTTTTGGGCAGATCGACAGGATGATTCTAAAATTCACATGAAAGTATGAATACCTACTATTAGCTAAATCAGCTTGAAAAAGAAAAGCAAAAGAGAGGAATGACCTACCCCAGGTTGTACTGCAAAGCCATAGCGATTGAAACAGTGGTGTGACACAGGAACAGGCACACAGCCCGTGGAGGCCAACGCCAAGTCCAGAACACACCAAGGTACATGCGGGAAGCTGATTTATGAGGCAAGTAGCTTCACAAGTTAGGAGGAAAGTTGGACTTCTTCTTTTTGTATGCGATGTTGGAAAATTGCCTTAGTGAGAGTGTGCAGAGAAATAAAATTATATGCCTATTTCACCCACTATAAAAAAATTCCAGGCAGATTGAAGACCTAAATGCGAGAACTAAAATATAAAGCCAGTAGATAAAACCGTGGAATAACTTTGAGAATTTGAAGTAGGGAAAGATCCAAAAAAGACCAGTTAGAATGGAAAAACAGACTGATTTGTCTGCGTCAGACTGAGGAAGCGTGGGGTGCGAGTCGCTGCTCCACAGTATCCGTCTCTCTGGCTTTGTTCCCTGGTCCAGGGCTAAGTCAGGGGCAGTCACAGAGAAGGTGGCCGGCTCCTGAGTACCGGCTCCCTGGGAAGTGATGACCGGTGCTGAGATTCAGGACTAGGAACGGCCTTCAGGGTGCCTAAGGCAGAATAGGGTGCTGCGATGGTCTCTTACTTTCTTGATCTGAATTGCTGCTCTCTCAGGGGGTTCAGACTCGCTCTCTGGAGGAATCTCTGAATGAGGAGCCTCAAATACAGGCGTGGGTGGCCAAGGGACACCATGAAACTTAATCGGTGTGGGCCCTGGGCATTCCGGTGCTGTCCTCATGTCAGGGGGGTGTGGGTCACCCTAATGCAAGGGATTGATAGCTCACACCAACCCTGACTGAACGCCAGATTCATGCCAAGAGCTTGTTAAAAATAAATTGGAAGGCCCCGCCCTGGTACACTCTGATTCAGTACGTGTGAGGCAGCTCGGGAATCTTCGTCTGACTGGCTCCCACGTGTCGCCAGGGTTGAACCCGCCAAGCTGGATCACCTTTCCAGGGCCCAGCAGATCAGAACTTCTCAGCTCCCAGGGTGCAGAATCACCTAGGGTGGGGGTTGTGGGGGGGGGGCAGGGAGTGGAAGGGGTATGCACATAAGGTGTGCCCAGGGGCAGGAGGGAAGTGCAGTGGTTAGGATGGAAGGAGGAGAGGGAGGGGTCCAGGCTTGGGCGGAAGAGGAGCAGAGGTGCCAGTGAGAGCCCAGCTGTAACCAAACTCTCTCCTCTATGGGGGCCCCTCCCCCCACCGTGATGCTGATCCTGTTCTAGAATGGTCTGTTGATAGCCTGCTTCCTCACCAGCCTGGGAGCTCCTTGAGGGCAACAACCTTGCATTCATTCATACATTCATTCATTCATTCCACAAATATTTATTCAGACATTCATATGCCAGGGACAGGCACTAATAGGGAACCAGGCTGAGTCAGCCCACTAGAGCTTCCAGTCTAATAAGGAGGCAGGAAGACCAAGCAGCTCTAATAGGCTGTGTTAAAGGCCATGGTGGGGAACGGCAGACACCTATCCCCGACTTGAGAGATCTGGAAGGGCTGCCTGAAAAAGTGGAGTCTAAGATGGTGATGGATGGAGCAGGGAAGTCTGTTCCACACCTAGGGAATGGTATGTGCAGGTCTTTGTTGGGAACGGAAAAGGTCAAGGTGGCTGTACTGACAGGTCTCAGGGGAGACTCTGGGGGACGAGGCCATGATGTGAGCGGGGCCCCCCTCAGGGCGCCTGTGCAGGAGTTTTTCCCTCAGTGCTGGGCAGTGTGATAGGGAGCAATGGAAGGGTCTCGCCCTCCACGTGCCTGGTACCCAGCTTGGGACCCGACCTGGGGCAGCTGCCGGAATGTGTGTGGTGGACAGGCTGCTTCTCCCCGCTGAACTGGACAGGCTGACCCTAGCTCCTGCCCCTCTTCCCCCAAGATTCCTTCCCCCTCATCCCACTCTGTTCCTGAGGGCTGGACCAGCTCCCCCTCTGGGAACCAGGCAGTATTTTTCCTTTAGCACCCAGGAATATTAGATGCTTCTCCAAGTTAGCAGGGACCACTGCCCAGAGCTGGGGAAACTGAGGCTGGGAGAATAGCATGATGTCCCAGGAGTCTCAGAAGCACTGGGCTCCTCTGACCTTTCAAGCCTGCTAAAAACTGCTCCTAAGAGAATTAATTGCTCTATCCCCTCCTTTAGGAATGGCTCTCCTTGTGGGCAAGTGGTCCAGGCTAGGGTCTGTGTTTGGGCCTTCAGGGCATTCCCGGAGCTGGCCCAGAGCCTGGCACCTGGTGGGTGTGCACGAGGTGTGTGAACTGCATGAACACGTGTACTCGGTCCCCGGGCAGTGAGCCTTCTGAGCCCCTGGACAGGAAAGGCAGGCCCTTTTTCAACCTTGGGGGACCCTGGCCCACCGTGAATCTGATCCCCAGTTGGCCTGCTGCTCAGGGGACTTGGGGCATGGCCACTGTGATGGCTGTCGCTACCATTTTACTGACCCATGTTTTGTGCCTGACGCCCTGTACACTCTTACCCCTCTGTCCGTCCCAGAGAACCTTCTGGGGGGCAGGGATGAGAAACTCAGTAGACATATTTGGAGACTGAGGCTCTTGAAAGGGAGAAGCTTGGGCACCCTCAGAATCATGTCATGAAAAGGTTAGCCAACAGGATTGTCACTTCACCTCGGGGACCCCCGCCCAACCGAGGGATGTGGCAGGACTCACCCAGCAGGCTCAGTGGCTGGGGGCTGCGACCTGGAGGAAGCTCTGCTGTGTGACTACAGGACCTGGCCTGAGGGGCCTCCCTGCTGGGGAGGGGCAGGCTTGGATGGGGCGTCTGGCGGCTCAGGAGGGGCACCCCTCTCCTCAGTTGTCAATGAAAACGACATGATGCCCTTTTTGGCCTTTCAAATTGGCAGTAGTTACCTTTGGAGTCAGTACAATCACAATATATTGTTAAGTGAAAAACAGGCTACTGAAAAGCACTGTGACCTCAATTTCTGTGAAAACTACACATACTTTCTGGAAGAGACTGGAAGGAAATGCATCAACCCGTTAAGGGCGGTTATCACTGGGTGGCATTCTCTGATAAAGTATTTTTCCTTTTGCTTAGCTACATTTTCTAATTTTTCTACAAAGGCTACGATTACTTGTGTCATTAAAAGCAATAAAGGGGACAGAATCTGCAAGGAGCAAATTCGGAGTTGCCCTGGGGGCTGCCCACGGTGGGGATTCTGTGCTTCCGCGGGAAGGCGGGGCTGATTGCAGAAGCAAAGGAGCGGGTCCAGCCCGGCCTTGCAGCCTGCGGGCTGGAGGCGGAGGGGAGGGTGCAGCGGGCTCCCCAGAATCGGAACCGCCCACGTGCGCCTCCGAGCCGGGCCGCGCCGAGCTGGCGTTCTCCGTGGTGTCAATGTTCGGCGCGCGTTGGCGCCGTCTGGTTGGTTGGCGCCGTCTGGTTGGTTGGCGCCGTCTGGTTAGTTGCCGCCTGCGCCACCGGACGGTGCGCTCCTTGAGGGCAAGGCCCGGCGCTGTGTGGGCGGGAGGAGGAGCGGACGCCTAGCCTTGCTGCCTGCGTGGTTCCCGGGGGCGGGAGTCTAACTTCCTCTCCGGGTTTCTGTTCCTTAGATCCACTTCCCGGACGTGGAGCGGGTCGAGTGGGCCAACAAGGTAAGGCCAGGCTGTCCTCCCCCCCCAGGCCTTGTCCTCCCCCCCCACGCCTTGTCCTCCCCCGCAGCCCTGATGGGGGCGGAGCGGCTCTTGGACCCAGGCCATCCGGGCAGTGACCTTGCTCGGGAGGGGCAGAGATGGCCCTTGGCCTTCTGCCTGTCTCTCACGGCTCCCACCCTCAGGTTCTTCTCATCGCCAGACAGGCTTTCTTTTCTTTAAAAAATTTTTTTGGTTTCAGTTGTGAAATTAAAGCATGGCCGCAGCAGAAAAGTTAGAAAATACAGAGAAAAATGCAACCCTCCAGTGGCCCACCAGGCAAAGACCAGTGCTTCCTGGGGAGAGGAAGGCCATGCGGTGACAGCTGCTGCTGGATTTCACCTGGTTCCCAGCCCACAAACACCAGTGCTGGCTGTGTGACCTTGGGCAGGTTGCCTAACCTCTCAGGGCTGGTTCCCTCATCTGTGCAATGGGAATAATTATGGTCCCTGCCTTGTGGGGTGTTGTGGGGATTAATGAGGTAATTAATGCACCATAGTGCTTGGCACATCCTGAAGGCTGGTATACGCTGACATCATCCACTGTCATTATCTCAGTGACTCTGCTGTTAGGTCATTCAAGGGGACTCCCCCCGGGGGTTCTGCTGCTAGATGGGGGAGGGGTCCAGGTCCCACCCTCCCTTACAGATGAGGAACCAGATCTGCCCTGCCTGATCTGCCCAAGCCTGGCCCTAAATGTGAAGGCTCCTGTACCAGCCCCCGAAAGTCTCCTCACTCAGGACTTTTTCTAACACAAACCTTGCCTCTGTTCTGGATAGAAGCTTGGCCTGTAGCAGAAATGACTTAGGTTAGGTATAAAAAAATACCTAATGGTTTTTGATGACTTTTTTGATGGTTTTGACTTCCTGATGGTTTTTGATCTAAGGTTGGTATTTTCATGTTACCAGAAATGTCACTGCTGAGTGGATCAAAAACTGTTACCAGCCTCTGGGTAAAATTTGGAGGGAGTAGTTTACTGCTTTAAGAGGAGTGACCGGATTTCTGTGGATTAATGCAGGGCCCAGGGCCTCTGGGACAAACCTTGTGCTGTGTCCCCGAGTGGAGTTCTTCCTGCATGTGTGTCTAGGTCACGGGTCCCCGTGTGCACGACATCTTTCTTGCACTAACACACAGGCCCACAGAAGGTGGAGATGTGTGACCGTTGGGGTGAGGCTTCCCCCTCAGCTTGGGGCATGGATGGGGGAACAGCTGTGTAGATGGGCCACACTAGGGTACCGAGTATGTCCCACAGAGCCTCGTACTCAAAAGCATTTGGTAGATGACCAAGCAGCAAGACAGGAAGATGGGACCAGTCCCTGCAGAGGCCCCTGAGAGAGATGGGGGCAAGAAAACCCTGAAACCTCACTGCTTTCAGGTTCCTCTGATTACGGGTTCGGGAAGGAGGGGGAGGCGCATCTTTAAACTGGGGCCCCAAGTTCGAGAGAAGGAAGAGCGAGAAGTGTTTGCCCCAAACAGAACGTAGCGGCCGGCTGCCCCTCCTTCCATACCCCTCTCTGATCCCCATCTCCTGCCACCAGGCTCCATCTCTCTGGCACCCTCCCTCTCCCCAGGTCCATGCTTGGTTCCCAGACCAGAGCCATAGGTCATTCTGCTGCAGAAATCAGCTGGAGGCGGCCTTTCCTGATTACTAGAAAAAAAATTAAATCCACAGGAAACAATTTGTTTCTCTCCTGTGATTTTTTTTCTTAAACCTCTGACACCTGCTACTTCTTGTTTACACCACCATGTTGATTCAGATAGCTTACGTTTTAGCACAGAACTAAAGGGCTTCATAATACTGAGTTTCGTGAATGACTGTTTCATTGTGCTCTGCGAAATGGTACCAAATCTTGGGGTCCCGCTGCCTGCACAAGAGTGAGAACCACTGCTGTAGTTATGCGATGCTTGATGGACAGAGGGACGGATGGGTGGGCAGGCAGGCAGATGGGTGCTGCAGCGTAAGGGCCTTGGGACCCCACTCCGGGGGCCAGGTAGTCCTGAGCAGCCGTGGGTCTGGGGTGGGGGGCACAGGCCTGACCGCCAGGGGCCTCTTCCTGTCCTCGCAGATCATCTCCCAGACCTGGCCCTACCTAAGCATGATCATCGAAAACAAGTTCCGGGAGAAACTCGAGCCCAAGATCCGGGAGAAGAGCGCCCACCTGAGGACCTTCACCTTCACTAAGCTCTACTTCGGACAGAAGGTCGGTGCTCTCGGGAAGGGCAGCCTGGACCTGCTGTGCAGTCTTTTCTCTGTCCCCGCCCCCTGCCCCTGCTCATGCACGCGACTGGAAAGATCCCACTGGACCTCACAGGGGCCCAACCCCACCTGCCCTTCCCAGCCCCTCGGCCTCAGTATAGACCCCTCATCCGCTAGTCCAGCACCACCATCTCTGCAGGTTCTGAGGAAGCCTGGCTCAGAGAGAGCAAGGAGAGGTGGGAATAAGCCCGCTTTTCTTAAGCAACATTTTGAAAACACGCCATGCGGTGGAAGCCAGCCAGATACAAAGATGCACAGGTCACACTTGCTGACCTCAGGCCTCAGCCGGCAGGCACACCTCCGTGGAGGGAGACGGGGCCTCACAGCAGTGTAGGAGTCTCTGCTAACTGACCCTGGCAGTCAGTGTGACAAGCCGACTAATTCTGTGAAGATGGTAGGTGACCTAGGATAAAAGAAGTTTGTGTTTAACATACCTAATGCCATGTCCCTGTTCTAGACCGAGCTTCTTATTCCATCCTCCTGCCCTGAGTGCTACATTGAGATGGATCTTATTTTGATCATCTGGAAATGCATCCCCCAGACAGAGAAGCACCGTGATGTCCACCACCCGGTAGATCAGAGGTGTGGGCATCTGGGCGGCTCTGGAGCAAACAGGTGTCAGAATGCGGGCCAGGCTGCTGCCAGCTGTCCGCCAGCCCCAGGGCATGTGCCCAGCCCTGCCCCGCTAGCCCCCCAAGGTGGGGGGTGGATCAGGCATGCCTGAGCCCTGCAGATTCCAGTTTATGCCACTCAGACTCTGCCAAGACTGGCTTGTTCCAGCGTCTGTTGGTTCATTTGTTCCTTCCCTGTTTCATTCACGTGCGACTTACTGAGCTGTGTGTGAGGCACCATAGACAGAGATGGGTGTGGCTGTACCCCTGCCTGTAGGAAGGTCACTGTTCTGCTGTGGAGGCAGACACATAAACTGGTGGATGACAATGTGGCAGTGTCCGCGCGAAGGTGGAGGAATGCGTGAATTCAGAAGTGGAGAGGTGTGGGGCTGTGGCAGTCAGGGAGGACTTCTGGGAGGGGGTGATGTCTGGGTTGGTATTTGAAGAATTCAGCAGGCTGAGAGCCAGCAGGCCTGCAGACTGCTGTGTCTATAGCAGAGCCTGCTTGGCTGGGCCGCTGTCTGGTGATGCCTGTGGAATGTGGCGCTGCTGGAGAGCCATCCCTCACCAGCAGCATCAGCAGGCCTAGGGGTGGCTGATCCTAAGGGATGATTTTATGTCAGGAGAACTTGGCCGGGGGACCTGCAGGCTGACCAGATGCCCCAGCCCTGCAGGAGAAATACCTGACTCCTGGTCCTGGCATTCAAAGCCCATCATGTCCTGGCTCGTCCCACTTCCCCTTGGCTCTCCCATCCCCCTCCTCTGCCCTCCTCTCCATTGAGGGAGTCACAGAGGACTCCTCATGTGACCTTCCTGGGCTTGGTGAGCACCCAGTGCACTTGCCACACCCCCTTCCTTCATGCCCATGAGTGTTTCCAGCTTCCTCCTATTCCCATGTCCATGCCCAACTTCACTCGGTGCTGTGATGACCTTGGGCTGGTGACTTAACCTCTCTGAGCTCCAGTTTCCTTATCTGTAAAAGGGAAGGAGGGTGGTTGTGAAGCGTGACTAACAGGCCTGGCCTCAGGGCCACTCTGCATGGCTGTTGAGTCACAGTGGGCCAGCGAGGCCAGATCCCAGCCTGGTGCTCCCCACCTAACTGGGAGCCCTGGGCCAGGGCCGCCCTGCCTAGCACAGAGCAGATGCTCAGACGGTAGTGACCCCTCCTCTCGGTGGTGGGGCCTCTGGGCGGGCAGCCTTCCCCAGGACCCCTTTCTGCAGATGGGGATCGTGGGGCCGAGCTCTCACAGGTGCCGCAGACCGCTCCAGGCCGTGGGGGGAGGGTGGGGGGGGCGGCGTTCAGTCAGGGTCCTCCCCTGCCCCCCAGCCTTCCTCTGGCTTCTCTGGTCTTTACCGTCAAGGCCCTGGGGGCCAGGGCAGAGCTGAGTGTCGCGTGGCCTGAAGCATCTACAGTTCTGGGAGCCCTCCTAAAGAAAGAGAATATAAAATTAAACATGTAAAATTTGGACAAAAATGAATATTAAATAAGTATGGGGAAGAATAAGAAAATAAATCCCAGCAAGTTACACATTTAAAAAAGCTGACAATATCACAAACTCTGGAAAAACTACATAATCATTGTAGTTAACTGCTCAACATCTCCCTATAATAATTTTTTCCCTGCATTTTTGGCTTTGAACTTTTTGATAACCTTTTCATGTGACAATGCATTTGTAAGTATCACTTTCTATGGAGAGAGTAGAAAGATAATGGAATTTTTCTTCTAGTAAGGTTGATTGAATTTTTTTCTCCAAAATTTTATTATGAAAAATTTCAGACATACAAGAAAATTGGGAGCATTAGTCTGTGAACCATCTGGCTTGTACAGTTGTTAACCTGATTTACGTTAGTACATATCTGTGCTTCTGTCCCTCTCGTCTTTTTTTTTTAATGCGTTCCAGATTAAATTGCAGCCATCAGTGAACTTCACCCCTCACCACCTCAGCGTGCATGTCACTAACTCAAATTCAGTGAAATTTATTTTTTATTCTTGATAAATAATAACCAGACCCCATTCCAGTGCCGCCTGACAGGAGGAGAATGTGGGCAGAGAGGGGAGAACAATCACCTAGGAGCTCAGCCATGGCCTGAGGCTGGGGACCGTGGCCCTGGCGTGGGGCACTTCAGTTCTTAGGGTTGGATCCCTCAGCCAGGGATCCTGCCTTGCCCTTAGGGGGCCAACTTCTGCTCATCTGCCAGAACTGTTTAAATGCCTCCTCCTCCAAGAAGCCTTCACTAACCTCCACCCACCCCAAGCTGGGTTGGGAGGTGCTCCTAAGTCCCCAGACCCCCACTTGGCAGCACAGGCTGCACCTCATCCTGTACCCCCCACCCCCGCCCCATTGTCTCCTCTGCTGGGCTGCTCCTTGCCTTCTCTTGCCTTCTCTGCAGTCCCGGCCTGGCCCCGAGCAGGTTCTCAGTACATACCTGTGGGAAGAGAGGGAGAAAGAAGGGTGCACATTCTCGGCAGGGAAGTATCGGGATGCCAAGGACGAACGGGGCTGTGGGTGGGTTTCTGTGTTTGTGCCTCATCCCGGGAGTGCAGTGGTCACGTTGGTGGTTGTGGACAAAGCCCAGTGCTGGGCAGGGCCTGCAGCTGTCCCTGGTGCCAGGCCCCTTGCCGACCCTGCCCTCCGGCCTCTCTCCCAGTGCCCCAGGGTCAACGGCGTCAAGGCGCACGCCAGCAAGCACAACCGAAGACAGGTGGTTCTGGACCTGCAGATATGGTGAGCCCTCCTGCCGTGGGGCCGGCGCGGGATGCGGGGACACTGGGAACAGCCAGTTTGAAGATGGAGTAGCACATACAGCCTAATTCAGGCTGTGAAAGCCCCTCACAGCACACGTACCCCCCGCCCCCAGGCTGGAGCACAGGGTCCCTGCTTGGGACAGGGAGGAGTGTCAGGAGAGTGGGTGGTCCCAGGGGAGCCACCGCTGTCTGACCCCTCAGCCCAGGCCTGGCTTCTCCCGCCAGATCAGGCACCAGGCATGCTTTGGTGCCAAGGCCCAGGCAGCAGAGCTTTCGTAAGGCCAGGGCCAGGTCACCTGGAAGGTCAGACCAGCTGCCTCAGAGAGGATTAGCAAGGGGAAGTAAGTGTGACAGAAAGATGTGGGGAAGCGCAGAGAGCTCTGAGCACAGGCTGTGAGAGACCAGTGGGAGAACTGGGCTCTGTGGTACTTGAGAAAAACTGAAGGATGCAAAGACACGTGAGTGACTAGTTCAGTCGGTTGAGCAAGGGCTCCTCTTTTGAATGAGGCTTGTCATAGGCTTGAGGTGGAGAGAAGGCAGATTCAATCCAGGAAGTCTTCCTGGAGGTGGTAAGATTCGAGTTGTGCTTTAAAGGACCAAGGATTGACTCCTGAAGTTCCAGAATGTTGCCGTTCCTTTCTGGTGTCTCATATTTCCTGTCCTTAGCCCAGAGGCTGGCACTGAGAGCACACTGGGATGACAGGAGTCAGCCCTGGGAACACCCATCCCCATTTGGGGGCAGGTCTCAAGTGTGTTGGGATGGTGATGGCTAGTGGGCACTCCTGGCCCCAAGGCTCTGCCACAAGATCCTTGTATGAATAGTTGGGGCATGTCAAGGTCATCTGGCCCACCCACCCAGCTCCCCAGTCAGCTCAGGTGGCCCTGGGTCCCCCTCCCCTTTCAGGGGGCATGCAGCATTTCTGTGACATCAGGCTCCTCTGCCTGTGTCCTGCAGGTATTTGGGGGCCGCCCTCTCCCTCCCCTTAGTCCTCTCCTTCAGTCCTTTGACAGGTCTCCTGATCTTACCCTCAAGGGCACCCATCCTGGGCTCCCTGTGCCCATCACTTGGCAGAGCCGCCAGCTGGGCCCAGGCTCTGAGCCCTTGTTCCCTTTGCCCACCTCCACCACCCCAGCAACAACTGGGGGAATGGCTGGATGTGAGCTGCGGGGCTGCTCTGTGTCCTTGGCGAGGAGAGACGGGGCAGGGCCACAGCAGTGGCGGAGAGAGCGGGGCGGGGGGGGGCCAGTGTGTTCACCAAGAGCCCCTCCTTCGCATCTGTGGGGTGTCGTGGGGCGAGGTGGTGCCCAGAGTCACTGCCCTCGTGGCCAGAGGTGGGGATGTGCAGGGGACACCTGGGTGCAGGCACCTGGGTCCGTGTCTGTGCAGAGCCGAGAAAGGCTGAGGCCGGTAGGAGGCTGTATCCGGGTGATGCAGGGCTCAGGCTTGGCGGCTGGCTGCCTGGGCTTGGGCTGGGTGGCGCTGGGCAAGTTTCCCGACCTCTCTGAGTGGTGGACGTGCCCCTCCTCCACCTTCCTTTTCCCTCCCCACCTTCAGCTACGTCGGGGACTGTGAGATCAGCGTGGAGCTGCAGAAGATCCAGGCTGGTGTGAACGGGATCCAGGTGGGTGGAGCCCGGCAGGACTGCCCCTCAACCCCGCCAGGGTGGAGTTAGGGCAGGGGGAGCAGGCTCACGCTGGAGCAGGCTGTGGAAGGGGATGATGACACCAAACACAGAGGCTGGTGGTGATCCAGGGACTCCAGGCCCGAGGTCACATGGCCAAGAAGTAGTGGCTGAGCTTCACCAGCCTGCCGCTCAGCCCCACAGCCCCACGCCTGCTGCTGTTTGTAAAGTCCCCCCAGAGAGGCTTCGGCTGCCCAGGGAAGGGAGAGGTTCTGCCATGGAGTGGTGCAGAGCCAGTGCTTAGAAACTGAGGTGGGTGGAGGAGGTGGAAATTCTCATAGCAGGAGCAGAGGAGCTGAGTGGGAGCTGGAAAGCGCTCCTGGGGCCCTGCTGGCCTGGCAAGGCCGCAGGCCCCTCAGGCCCCGCAGCAGCGGAAGGCAGCGAGGGCCGGCTCATGGCCCCTGAGTACCTGGCAAAGGGGTGGCAGCCGTGTGCAGGCTTCTCTTCCCCGAGTGTAGTCCCTGCTGTGACAGCAGGTGGCCCTGACATTTGTGGGTGGCATGGGCATGAATGAGACAGGTGTAGGAAGAAGGGAGGCTGGAGTCCCTCACGGGCCCTCTGTGCCTCTCCAGTTGCAGGGCACACTGCGGGTGATCCTGGAGCCCCTCCTGGTGGACAAGCCCTTTGTGGGGGCCGTGACCATGTTTTTCCTTCAAAAGCCGGTGAGTCCCAGGGACGAGGGGCAGGCCTGCCACTCGCTGCAAGTAAGCCCTTGCCTGCTGGACCCCAGGCACTGGCTTTGAGCCCAAGAATGGACACTGCCCAAGCCCACTTGGACCTGGGCACTTCCCACTCCTTGTCTCCTGTCATCTTAGGCAGCTTGCTCTCCCCAAGACCTAGAACAGCTAAGAGAAGTAGCTTGCCAAGCTCACACGAGTAGTCGGAGGTGGAGAGGAGGCTATAGCTCAGACCTCCCTGAGTCCAGGCCAGCCTGTGGCCCCGTGCACTGGCCCACTCCTGAGGGGGTCCTGGCAGGGAAGCGGCAGGCCTCACAGCCCCGGCCCATCCCGAGCCGAGGCCTGAGCAGGACTGGGAGGTGCCTCACCTGCCTGACCCCCCTGCCGAGGGTTCTCAGCCCTGGGCTTCTGGCTCCTTCCAGCCTGACAGCTTCCCTCTGCCCCTGCAGCACCTGCAGATCAACTGGACAGGCCTGACCAACCTGCTGGATGCGCCTGGAATCAAGTAAGTGCCTGTGAGAGCCGCCAGGCAGATCCCAAACATGGGACACCCCAGGGCTGTGCGGTCAGGGACTGGAGCGGCACAGTGGTTGTGCCCGCCCTCCCCGCTCTCTGTGTGAGGATTCGGGGTAGGCACCAGGCCCTCCCACTCCGGAGGAAAATGTGTTGGTGTGTTTGGAGCAAGAATGGGAGGTAACAGTGTTGGTTGGCCTCTGTGGGCAGGCACCGCGCCCAGGACGCACGCACGCATGCACACACACACGGTGGGTGAGCAGGGGCGAGCAGCTCCGCTCAGATGAGCTGTCCTCACATGAGCTGTCCTAGAGGAGGCCGTGTGGGGCACTGAGAGAGCGTGGGCCCTGGAACCAGACCCAGCCAGACCAGGCTCCTGGCTCTGTTACTTAGCAACTGTGTGCCTTTGGACAAGTTACTTCACCTCTCTGGGCTCTTCCTCAGTGAAAGGGGAGCCTGGTTCCTCTATCTTGGGGTCCCTGGGAAAACACTATGGTGTGTGTGGTGGTGGCTCAGTGGGTGTGGACACACACGAGTGTCCTCCTTTCATCCTCACTCCACCCCCTCCCCGACCCAAGCGTGTGGTGAGAAGCCCATGTGGCCTCCCCCAGCCGTGGTGGCAGATACAGACGTGGGCGGGTGGCTGTCACAGCAGAGGCCAGTGAGGAGGAGCTGGTCTGGGAAATCCCACCTTCCTGGGGGCTCTTCCCCCGAGGGGAGCAGAGAAGGGCTCCAGCCCCTTGTGGACACCCCTCCCCAGGAGGGAGGGGCGGTTGGACCAGCCAGGGCAGCTAGCCCGCCAGGCTCAGGCAGCTGCCCCCACTTGCGGGAGCGCCACTTGCTCGCTCACCAGGGACATCCCACTGCTCTTGGCCCCCGGATGCAGAGAATCCAGTCACACATTCTCCGTTCAGAAAATACGGAGTGAGCGCCTGCTGTGTGCCGGTCCTGTGCTAGGCCCTGTCCCTGCCCCCCACTGCGATGGAGTCAGGCAGTGAACTAAGAGGACTTGGATAAGATGTCAGGGCATGGAAGGGCTGACACGACTGCTTACCTAGCATTTACTGTGCTCTGTACACGTATTAACTCATCCTCAGAACAACCTAGGAGGTAGGCACGATTATCTTCATTTTGGAGATGAGGAAATGGGTCCTGAGAGGTTAGCGACTTACCCAAGGTCACACAGATCGTGGTGGTAGAGCTGAGATTCTAACACAGGCTCCAGGTCATCACTCTGAGCTAGCATGCTGTGATGCCTCAGACAACAGAGCAGGATTGGAGGGGTCAGGCGCTCTCCCAGGCAGGGCCCACCACAGCAAGCTCTGCTCCTGGGTCCAGCTCCAGAGATGGGTGGAGGGGCAGGCGGCCTGGGGGAGGTAGTGCCGCTCCTCCACAACTGGTTGTGCCCGCTCTCCCCAGTGAGGTGTCGGACAGCCTGCTGGAGGACCTCATCGCTGCCCACCTGGTGCTGCCCAACCGCGTGACTGTGCCCGTGAAGAAGGGGCTGGACCTGACCAACCTGCGCTTCCCTCTGCCCTGTGTGAGTACCCACACTGGCCAGAGTGCTGGGCCCAGTGTTGAGGGACAGACAGGCTGGAATGGGGAATGCAGTCTCAGATGGTAATCCTTGCTTCCGCCCCATGATGGCATGGCATCCCCATTTTATAGGGCGAAGACTGAGTCTTGGGAAGGCTCAATGACTTGCTAAAGGTCACCCATCTAGGGAGGGGCGAAGTCCAGATGGCCTTCCTTCCTGGGTCTTGGACCCCCCATGTGGCCTGAGTTGGGGACTATGGGCAGTCACCCTTGCCCCCAGGAACCTCTAGGAGCTTCCCATCCTCCCTTCAGGGACGTGAGACTCCCTACTCCATCATTTGGGGTGGGAAGAATCCTTGGGGTTGACTGGGAAGGACAATGTTCAGTCAAGTTAGGACGGGGCTTCCTTGAGTGCTTAGCCCCACTGCCCCTGCCCATCCTGGGCCCAGCTCAGAAGTCCCCTGAGGAAGCCACATGGCCTCCCTCCAGAAGGTGCCCTGGCTGTGGGCCTAAGCCCCTCAGGGCTGGGAGTCAGGGCCTCAGGACCGGGGAAAATGCCCATTTTCACCATCAGCACTATGTGTGAGACATTGGCCTGCTCAGGCCACGTAGGGGTGAGGCCCATGCCAGCCAGGGAGGAGGCACATCCTCTCAGCCCTCCCATAATGGTGTGTCAGCTTTATCCCGCTCTATGTGCTTGGTAGTCTCAGAATAACAATACAGCACCATCCCCCACGTCATAAGTACTGAAAAGGTTCTACCCCCATGCTATATCCCACTACACAGGTCCTGTCAAGTTGCTATGATTTAAATTCACTTGGAGTAGTTCCTCTCTGTGTGTTTGTGACATCAACTGGCCATGCACATTTACATTGATTTGTTTCATTCCATTTTCTATTTCTAGGGTTTAAGTTTTACCTTAACTTCCGTTTACAATCATGTAAAATATTTGCAAACTTCCAAAGTCCAATAGAAAAAACAAATTGTATTTTAAGGCATCTGGCTTCTAGCCCTTGTTCCCTCAACTGGTCTCTGCCCTCCCCCTGTAAGTTATGGCTTATCCTTCCAGTATTTTCCACTCTGTTTTCTAACATGAGTGGATGCACGCACGTGGTCGTGTGTGTGCATATTTGATTTTGTTCACGGCCCCCCCCTTGGATGGACGACAGCACACTATGCTGTTCCCCACTTGGCTTTCATCACTTCCTGTGTCACAGGGATCTCTCCCGGATGGTGTGGATGGAGCCCTCCCTCTCTCCCTCTTTCTTACAGCTGCATCATACCCCACGGGGTGAATGTGCTGTGGTTTATTTAACCAGTTCTCCACACATGGACGGTTGAGTTGTGTCTGGTCTTTTGCTGTTTCAAGTAGTGCTGTCATGAATAGCCTTGTACGTGTCTTTTTATATTTTTGCCAGTATGACTTTAGGATAGATTTCTAGAAGTGGGATTATTGGATCAAAGGGCAAATGCATATGTATTTACTGATATTTAAAAAAAAATAGCTGTAGAGCCAGCACTGATGGCCTAGTGGTTACAGTTTGGCGCACTCTGCTTTGGCAGCCTGGGTTCAGTTCCCAGGCGTGGAGCCACACCACTCATCTGTCAGTAGCCGTGCTGTGGCGGCAGCTCACATAGAAGAACTAGAAGGACTTACAACTAGAATATGCAACTGTGTACTGGGGCTTTGGGGAGGGGAAAAAAAAAAGAGAGAGGAAGATTGGTAACAGATGTTAGCTCAGGGCAACTCTTTACCAGCAAAAATGAATAGTTCTAGGCAAGAGGCCTACTAGCCCCATGAGCTGTGTTTTTCCCGATTCTTGTGCTCTATTCTGCCTGTGACAGCCCAGTGTGGGGAGTGGGGTACACTCAGTGCCGGGCCCTTTGTGAGTCCAAGGACCCACTACCAGCAGCAGGCATCGCCCACAGGGGTGTCCACTGGAACTCAGTCTGCATGCAGGTTACAGAGCAGGGCTGGAATGAAGGAGGCAGCCTTCTCAGGTGGCGTGCTTGTTGGTACAAGAGGAGGAAAGAGCTGCAGCTGAATAAGCCATTCACATGGCAGGTTGGTGGCAGGGAGGGTCATGAAGGCCAAGAATGTGACACAGTGGACAGAGCCCTGGGCCCTGCCATCACCTGCTGCATGGCCTTGGCCAGGAGACTGCCGTCTCGAGCTTCTGTCTCCCCATCCAGACCACAGAGAGGGTGAGATGGGGCTGGGGTGATGTCTGAAGGCCTTGGCTCTGATGTGGTGGGCCTTGAGGAAGCAGCTGTGAGCTCCAGCCTGGGACATTTTCCAGGGAGTGATCCGAGTCCACTTGCTGGAGGCGGAGAAGCTGGCCCAGAAGGACAACTTCCTGGGCATCCGAGGCAAGTCAGACCCCTATGCGAAGGTGAGCATTGGCCTGCAGCATTTCCGGAGCAAGACCATCTACAAGAACCTGAACCCCACCTGGAACGAAGTGTTTGAGGTGAGGGTCTCCTCAGCCGCCCCTGGCTGCTCTCGATGCCCTCTAGGCTCCACTCTGGGTTGTGCTGGGCACAGACAAGGGCAGGCCTTGCCCTCCTCGTCCTCACATACCCATGGGGCAACACTGGGCCAGAGGAGTGGGCCCTGGGGACAGGTGGACAGGTCTGTGTAATTGCTACTTCCCATATCCACTGGGGTTCCAGAGGTGAGCTGCTCTGGCCCCGCTGGAGGGGCAGCTTATAGATGAATTCCCACCTCCCTTCCCCACCAGAGTCAGCTTTGTTGGAAGTTTTCAAATCAAAGTAAAAGAGAGAGCCTCAGAGGCAGTTCTGCCCCAGTCCTCTCAGCCTGCCCTGCCACAGCCAGACACCAGGAGCCTGAAGTTCTTCCTAAGGTCAACCACAGTCCCTACCATGTCAAGAGTAGGCCCCACAGCCTCTTAAGTGCTCTGGAAGCTGTAAGCCCCATTCAGAACACACAGCAGCCACCGTCCCCTGAGCACCCACCCTGCATGGGCTTGCACATGTCTCTGCTCCTCCCCACCCTGCAGGGGAGGGGTTCACTCCCTCCTTACAGGTGGGGTTCTCCAGGCTCTGAGAAGGGCAGGGAGCTGCCCAGGGCTCCAAGCTTGGCAGGTGGTGGAGCTGGAACTTGGCTCCCCTTGGGTCACACTTGAGGTTTGCTTCATCAGCTGTTGTGGCCTGCAGGTCAAGTCACCTCTCTTTCCTTCTAGTTCATAGTGTATGAAGTCCCTGGGCAAGACCTGGAGGTGGACCTGTATGATGAGGATCCTGACAGGGACGATTTCCTGGGCAGGTGAGCAGGAGGGCCGAGCTGGGCCTGGGGGCGCCGGGCTGGGCCGTGGGGCACAGGTACCTCTGCTTCCACTGCTCAGTGACCTGCAGCCCTCGCTGGTCACTATGACACGGTGACCATGCCAGGCAACCTGCCCCATCGTTCCACATTCCTGCCACAAACCTCCTTCCCAGATGTCTCCTGCGAGCTCAACCCCGCATTGGGCCCTGGGAGTAAGAGAAGAGCCAAAGGTTTGTGCGTCGTGGGCTCTGCTTTCTGCACTCCTGATAATGTACCCAGAGTCCCCATTTGGAGCAGAAGGCAGGGGGCAACGCTGGCATGGATGGCCAGGTGCCCAGTGCCAAGGAACCCTGGCCACTCACTCTGGGGCAGAGCACAGAATGTTAGGGCTGTGGCAGGACCAAATGGCCAGAGTTGGGCTGGTTATCGAACTTCAAATTTACAGGTCTTTTGGTCCAGCAGTCCCATTTCCAGGAATCTCCTATAAAATAAAAACATTGTACTTGAAATGTTTATCGCAGAAGTGTCAGTGGTGGCAGAACAAAAAGCTGGAAACATGAGTGTCCAGCTCAGAGGACGTCAGTTGAAAGTTTGAATAAATCGGCCATTGCTAAACTACAGAATATTCTGCAGCTTTTAAAAATGATGAGTAGGATATGTGTGTGTCAACCTGGAGGAAGTCTGTTACATATTACTAAGTGCAGGAAAGCAATTGGGGGTGACCTGTGCAGTTTGATCCTCTTTCTAGGGAGGACCCTCGTGTGTGTGTGCCTGTGTTCGTGTGAGCACAGAGAAAGGCATGGAAGCTACACAGCAGGCCATTCACACTGCTCATCTCACAGGGCTGGCATTAGGAGGCAGAGAAGAGTTTTACCCAAGTCTTCATACTCCTGTATTGTTTAGCTTGTTTCCATGAACATGTAATTTTAAAAAGCAGAAATAGGGTGGGAGGGGCCCAACTGGACAGCCTAAGAAACAGCTCACCACCAGATGTGGCTTATTATTTTTCATCTTACTGAAAAAAGTTGCAATTTTTGTAATGTCGCAGATTAGAAGTGTGGCTAGTGGTTTATGTTTTATGTAACTGATTTCAAGTACGTTTTGAGCTCAAGCACATACCTAACAGTTACATAGGATTAATTTCCCCTCTAGCTATCAGGACCTTCCACTGGGGCTTGGGTCAGGGTAGGTGGGAGGCCCATTGTGAATGTGGCTGTTATCTCCTCTCACACACGCGCCAACCATACTTATCCCTTGGAGGGCATCTGGGGAAGTTCTGGAAATGGAGGGGCATTTTGGGTTGTTACGATGACTGCGGGAGGTGGTGCCCAGTGGCATTTAGAGGGCACAGGACAGGGAAGCTAAATTCCTGCAACGCATGGGCAGTTTTGGACAATGAAGAATCATCCCACTCAAAACGCCAAGAGCACTGTCATTGAGAAATCCAGAGCCGATGTGTCCAGCAGCGTCTGCTTATTCCCCCCTGGGGATCAGAGCCACCTGCCTCCCCAGGTCATGGTCACTATGACCTCCCCAGGCAGCATGCCCAGTGGGAGCAGCCCTGACAGTTAGACAGTCCTTCCCGTGCCTGAGCTGAAAGTGGTCTCCTTGGGATAAATAAGATCTTCCGATATGTGAAAATGGATTCCAGGGTGCGCCTCCATGCCCGCTGCTTCTTGCCTCCTCTGAGTTGAGCTGAGCTGACCTCTCCCTCCCTGTGTATTCCAGCCTGCAAATCTGCCTCGGGGACGTCATGTCAAACAGAGTGGTGGATGAGGTAGAGTTGGTGCTCCCTCCCCGTGGACAGCTCTAGCAGGTTGCTTTAGCCTAGCTAGTCCTATGAAATGGGCCCCGTCTATGCTGAGCCACACGTGCCTGTCCTCAGGGGCAAGAGCTGGGTGAGGCGCAGATGGGCCCACTGAACCTGCCAGGGCCTAGGTTGGAAGAAGCTTCCCTGGAAATGCCCAGAGACCAAGGACCTCTAGCAGGACATGGTCATGTTACAGAGGAGGGCAGACTGGACCTGGGTAGGAGGGTTTTTTCCATCTCCAAGTATAGCACTTCTGTATAACCTCCTCTCCCAGTCCCTCAAACCCAGAGCCCACCCTGTCTGGGCTGGTCACCTTTTCCCTGAAGCCCCCATAGGGCCTCACCTGGTCCCAGAACTGAGCTGCCTAAAGAGAGGCAGTAGCATCTCACTGGCCCTTTCCTCTCCCCACTCTCCCTGCAGTGGTTTGTCTTGAATGACACAACCAGTGGGCTGCTGCACCTGCGGCTGGAGTGGCTTTCACTGATCGCTGACCCAGAAGCTCTGACTGATGTGAGTGCAAGGTGTTGGGGCTCCCTAGCAGAAAGGTGGGGTGGGGGCTTGTGGCAGGACTGGTCCATGTGTGGGCTGTGCATGTGGAGGGAGATGAAGCCCCCAGACCTTGCTCACAGAGTCCTCTGGCCTAGAGGACCTGTCCCTCAGCCCTTGTCTCCACACAGGGCAGCTCCTGATCTCTTTCAGCAGATGGTCTCTGAGCAGCTCAGCCATCTTCAGGAAAGATGTGATCCTTCAAAGCTCTGTTAGTGCCTGTCAGCCCAGTTCATAGGGAAAAGCCACCCTTGTGTCTGACATGAATCTGTCATGCTGCAGTTGTAATCTCAGCCTCAACAAAAAAGCCAGGTGGTGAGGGATCTTATGGCTAGTCTGGAGTGCAAGGGCTGGCCGGCTTCCTTCTGCCAGGAATAGGCTTCTCCAAAACCAATGTCTCCTGCTGCTGAGGCACCTAGTGAGGGTCTGTATCTGCTTGTAGGACCATGGTGGCCTTTCCACTGCCATCCTCGTGGTCTTCTTGGAGAGCGCTTGCAATCTGCCGGTGAGTGGTGACATGGCCAGAGTGCCACACACACCCTGCCTTGTGCCCATCCCTTTCACATGTCCATTTAAAAATGGACTTTTACAGATGTTGTGCTGCTCACTTACCCTATTCTTCTTGTGCTGCAGAGAAATCCTTTTGACTACCTGAACGGCGAATATCGAGCCAAAAAACTCTCCAGGTTTGCCAAGGTGTGTGTGGCTGAACACTTGCCTAAGAGCAAGTCACGGCTCCTTTTCCCCAGAGTAACCACAGCCATACGTCTTCTGGGTGACAAGCTGTGCACACACAGCCTGGGGATGACAAGCGCTGCCATTCGTTGAGGCTACTGTGCCAGGCACTGGACTGGGCAAGTCATCCCACATTTGTTATGATGTCCGAGTCCCATGATAACTGTGTGTCTCTTTATACTGCCATTTTACAAACAGGACCCAGAAGGTTAAGTGCCTGGGTCACATAGCTAAAGGAGGAGCCACAACTTGACTTCACTCTGTCTGTCTCTGTAGCTCCAGGGAACAAGAGCCTGTGTCCAGCTAGGCCCGGCTCCGCCTCCTGTCTTTAAGTTGGAGCCTCCCCCTGGGGTCAGCCCTGTCCTGATGCTTACACGGTCGTGGCAGCTCAGGGGCCCTTGAAGCACGTGGGTAGCCATCTCTCAAAGGGAAGCAGTTGGCTGGCCCCAGGTCCCAGTGATGCTCCTGGCCGTTGGGCGGTGGGATAAGGGGTGGGAAGGTGGCGTCTCAAACTGAGACTGATGGTGCCACCTTCACTGTGTGGATTTGCCCCCTCACAGAATAAGGTCAGCAGAGACCCTTCTTCCTACGTCAAGCTATCCGTAGGCAAGGAGACACACATGAGCAAGGTAAGACAGCTTGGTGAGTGGCCATGGAATAAGGAAAGGGGGGGCCCTACCCTTTTCAGGGAGAGAAGCGAAAGAAGGGAATTCGCTTTACACCTAGGCAAAATAGTTTTATAGTTCAAGAATCTGCAGGCCAAATCAGTGACCGGCCCAGGGGGCACCTGCTGGAAAGCAGCAGAACTAGAGTTCAAGCCTAGACATGGCTCTAAGCCTGTGTCCTTTCTACCACCCACCAAGTTTCTCAGTCCAGCAGCAGAAATCCTGTTGCCCTCCCTCCCCTGGAAGCAAGGTCTAATGCCAGCATGATTTTCAGCCCCTGTAAAGCTTCCTGGCAAAGCTCCCGTTGTCTTTGAGTCTGGCCGCCCTGCCCTAGTGCTTCCCACAAGCTGTACCTCATGTGGCCTGGGCAGACACAGAGAAGGCTCCCCAGGGTACTGGGTGGTCAGAGTGAGAGCAGAGGGTGCCAGTATCTTACTCTGCCCAACCTGACCCTTCAATGATCTCTCCCTCTTCTGTCCCCAGACCTGTCCCCGCAGCAAGGATCCTGTGTGGAGCCAGGTGTTCTCCTTCTTTGTGCATAACGTGGCAGCTGAGCAGCTGCATCTGAAGGTTTGCTTAAAGTTGGGCTCTTGGAACAGAGCTAAGAGGTGTCTAAGCCTTGAGCAGGTTCTCCTGGCAGGAAAATCAGCCCCTTGTGTGTGGAGAGGATACTGAGGCCCCACATTCTCATGAGGCTGGTACCCAAGGTCATGGGTGAGAGGCTGTGGAATGACAACCCCTCAAGTCCCTTGGTTCTCCCTGCAAAAGAGTCTTCCCAGCTGTTACACAGCATCCAGAGTGGCGTCTGTTGGAATCTACCGAGGACATTAATGATGATGCACTTTTTAAAAGAAGATATTTAACCTTCACAAAAGATCTTGGAACAGAGATATCTTCTTTATTTTACACATGAGCAAAGAGGCTCAAACAATGGCTTGTCTGAGATCTCGTGACCAACAAGTAGTAGAACTGGGATCTTTTGGGGCCCTCAGCCCTGTCTGGATGTCCCATCACAGAGCAGCAGAGCACATCAGTCCCTAAAGCCCCCCTGGCCATTTGACAGACTTGCCTCATATAGATCATAATTGCCTCTACCCTGAGTCACTCTCTTCCCCTGACTGAAGGCAGGGACCAGGCCTGGTGCCATTCCCAGTTTTCAGAACAGGACCAGAGGCCAATAGAATCACAGTACATACTTACTGAAGTGAACTCAGAATTGGTGGGGGCCCAGAGAGTGGGGGTGGTGAGGGTGGGGCTTGGTGATCCTCTTGTTTTGTGACTGGCCTGCTGCCCAGGTGCTTGATGATGACCAGGAGTGTGCTCTGGGAGTGCTGGAGGTCCCCCTGTGTGAGATTCTCCCCTATGCAGACCTTACCCTCGAGCAGCGCTTTCAGCTGGACCATTCAGGCCTGGAAAGCCTCATCTCCATGAGGCTGGTGCTTCGGGTAAATCTCTCCCCTTGTACCCCAGGGTAGGTATAGAGCAAGGTAGATTGCCCCGCTTTAAGCACCTGCTTTGTGTTGGGAAGAAGTGAGGAGATAGATTCATATTTTTCATTAATTCTGGAATATCATTAGCCATTCTCTCTTCAAATATTGTGTCTCCCATTCTTTTAATCCTTCCATCTAGAAGTCCTTCTATGCTGGACGTTATCATCGTCTCCTCCATGTCTTGACCTGACTTCACCTTCATATTTTCCATCTCTTTATCTCTTGGGGCTACATTCTATTTCCTCAGATCTGTCTTCTGGACCACTAATTCTTTCTTTGGCTATGCCTAATCTGCTGTTTAACCTGTTCACAGTTTTTATTTCAAAGGCTGTTTTTCATTTCTAATTTTATCTTTTCCAAATCCACCTTGTCTTTTTTCATTGTTTTATTATCTTCTCCTGTTTCTATTCCATCTTTAATCATTTAGAAATACTTATGTTTTAATGTATGTCTGTTAATTCTATTATCTGAAGATCTTGGGAGTTAAATTTTGATGTTTGTTGTATCTGTTGATGCTTTTTCATGGTTACTCATTTCTATATTTGGTAATCTGGGTGGCAAACATATGTTCAGTGTTCGTTTGTGACCTGGATTGAGGTTGTTCACTTCCAAAGAGATTCTGCTTTTGCTGCAACTAAGCACCTCAGGGGCATTATAAACCTGAGTCCATTTTTATGTTAATTTTTTAACTTTGGGTTTCAAGACCCTATAGGTAGTATAACTATGAACCCAAAATTCATATGAGACAGGCCTATAAGGTGCCATATTCTCAAGAAAGACTTTATTTATTTTCCCCCAACCAGAGTTCAGGCTTGAGACACACACATTTCTTGTCATCAGTCTTTGCTGGTGAGTGGAATGTTTATCCTAGACTACTTTTTCACTAAAGAGATCCCACCTTAATGGGTTCTACTTCAACTCCCAGCCTCACATTGACTCAAGGCCTCTTCTTCTAACCCTTGGGTTCCAGGGTTGATAAATGACCCTAGGAAAGCTGAACCTTTATTTTTCTGTTCTTTTTTTTTTAACTTCCTTGTAAATTTGGCTGTGCATTTAAAAGGATGTTTGTTCATTTTATTGGGCATTTCTAATGAGATTTTTTAGACTATTTTGACCACCATATTACTGGAAATGGAAGTCCCTGGGAAGGGTCTTGATAATTGATGACTGAGGGAAAAGGGGGAAGGACAAACACAATAGCTGAGGTTTTGAAACTTTGGTGCTAGGAGCCCAGGGGTGTGTCTGGATAGGAAACACATTTTAAGGAAAGCAATGGTGAATAAGGTGACAGATGGAAATGACCGTATCCAGAAGGCAGCTGGTGATATATGTGAAGGTTAAGGTGAGGGCAAGACTGGAGGTGTAGATCGGGGAGTCCTCTGCACAGAGGGAAAGTGCATGCTGTGAGAGTGGGCCAGGTAGCCAGCAGCCAATGCGAGTAGAAAGAGAAGGGAGCGCCAGGATTGAGTCTCCATGAGGACGCACTAGTGAGGCAGGAGGAAGGGAAAAGACAGAGAAGCACTAGTCAGAGGGGGCCAGGGGACGAGAGAGGTTAAGGAAGATATGGTCTGGGGGGAAAAATCTATTGGATTAGGTAGTCAGGAAGGATCTGAGTTTTAAGAAAACTGTTCCTTCCAGAAAAGAGAAGGAACAATATCCTAGAGAGCAGAGGAGGAGAGAGTGGAAGTGGTGGGCCCAGCCCATAAACAACCCTGTCATCTGCTTGCAGTTCCTGCGTGTGGAAGAACGAGAGCTGGGGAGCCCATACACAGGACATGAAGCCCTAAAGAAAGGCCCTCTGTTCATTAAGAAGGTGGCTACCAACCAGGGTCCCAAAGCCCCACCTCAGGGAGAGGGCCCTACAGATCTGCCATGCCCCCCAGACCCTGCTTCTGATATCAAGGAAGCCTCCAAGAGCACCACGACAACCACCAGTGCCACCACTGCTGCCACTGAGCCCATGCCCCAAGAGACAGGCCCAGAGCCCAAAGGCAAGGACAGTGCCAGAGGCTTCTGTGAGCCCATGGGGGAGAAGAAGAGTTCGGCTACCAGCTTCCTGACTGTCCCAGGCTCCCACTCTCCAGGGCCCATCAAGTCACGTAGACCCATGAAATGCCCTGCCTCCCTATTCGCATGGCCACCCAAGAGGCTGGCTCCCAGCATGTCCTCGCTCAACTCCCTGGCCTCCTCCTGCTTTGACCTGACAGATATCAGCCTCAACACTGAGTATGCACCTCTCTGCTTAATCTTTTCTAAAATCACCTGCATGAAAAATACCTCCCTGGATGGAAAAGTAGATATGAACCTCCTTTTCTGTGCAAGTTCTGGATTTTCACAAAATGGCTTCATGAGAGGCAGCATGGTGTGGTAGAAAGAACATAGGATGGGGGAGAGAGAGAGAGAGCGCACTTGCACCCCAGTCTGGTTTGGCTCTAGCTACCTACCAACTGTAAAACAGATGCTGGACATTGGTTGTTAAGGTTCCTTACAGCAGAGATATTTCCTGAATTCTGAAGTCTACTGGGATGATATGGAAAGCTTAGAATGTGGAATTATGTAATAAATGGTTGCCACGTATTATGTGTTTACTATGGGCTTAGCATGTTACAGTCATGTGTCGCGTAACAATGTTTCTTCAACAATGGACCGCATATATGACAGTGGTCCCATAAGATTACTACCATATAGCCTAGGTGTGTAGTAGGCTACTTCATCTGGGTTTGTGTGAGTACACTCTATGATGTTCACACAATGACGAAATAGCCGAACAATGCATTTTTAAGAACGTATCCCAGTCATTAAGCAATGCATGATTGTATTTGATTAATTTTATCTTCACAGTAATCCTACCAGATAAAAATTACTATCATAGAGATCAAATAACTCATCTAAGGTCCCACAAGAAATCATGGTATAAAGGCAGATCCCACTCCAGGGTTCATGCTCTTCCTACTGCAAAGTAGGATAATTATACATGAATGCTGCATGGAACTGACTTCCGACTGCAAGGAACCTACTGAGAATTATTTTATTAACCCACATGGCTCTATGTTCCTAAAGCAGGACATGCTTTTGTCTTGGGGCTGGGGGGAGAGGCCAACACTTGAAATGGCAAGAGAAGTGACAAGCTCTTTCTTTACAGAGGCGAGGGTCTCAGGCGGCAGGGGCTGGGCGAGATTCAGCTCACAGTGCGCTACGTGTGTCTGCGGCACTGCCTCAGTGTGCTAATCAACGGCTGCAGGTAAAGGGCTGCTGGAGCCAGGAAAGGTGCTTTGGGAGCATCAAGTGACCAAAAACCAGAAGGCGTACTTGGTGTACTTGAGCTGTACTTGGAGCAATGGCAGGAGCAGGCAGCCCTAAGGTAGACAAGTAAAACATTGAGAAGGAGTGAGGTGTGATGGCCTGCATGCTGTAAGTGACAAGGTCCTCAATGGTGGTCATGGGCTCCAGAGCCAAGGGCTTCACTCAGACACCATTGCAACACTGTGGAGTGGCTGGGAGCCAGTACATTTTCTCAAGTGGGAATCTCCAACTTCCTTTAGATGGAAAGTATTTGCTCCAGACTTTACAAAAACACATGTTTTCAAAACCATGTATCTGATGTTTTGTCCTCCCAATTCTGTAGTCTTTTGCATTTTTGGTCATCTAGACCATGGGGCATTTTTATCCTCAAGGCCATCTAGAGCTGAGTGGCTAGTACAGCTTTCTCCAAATGAGTATTTTCAGTGTTTCAAAACCAGGTGCCTTTTTTCTTTAATGTCTTTGAAACAAAATCAGAAACCTGACACCCTGTACCGTCAGTGGAGCTGATCCCTACGTCCGTGTCTACTTGTTGCCAGAAAGGAGGTGGGCAAGTCGTAAGAAGACTTCAGTGAAACGGAGGACCTTGGAACCCCTGTTTGATGAGACGTAAGTGGGCCAGTTGGCCTGCCTAGAGTGCCTGGCAGCCTGCCAGATGCTGGGAAGGGCTAGGGTTGAACAGGACAACATGATCTATGCCTTCATGATGCTTCTATACATTAGTAGGAGAAAATGACTACCAGGGCAGTTTAGCCAAACAGCTACCCAGTTTTCTTGCCCATAGGGGCTAAACTGTTCCTGATTATGAAATATTCCATACTCTTTCTCTTTAAATGAAGCCTCTTTGGCAGTAAAAGGATTGGAATTTGGTCAAATATGTTTTCTTTGAATCCATTTTAAAGCAGCAGTTAAAAATAAACATACCTTGAACCTAAGGACCTAAAATTTCCTCCAAAGCTCTAAGCTCTTTGGCCTGTCTTCCCTCCTGCAACAAACCATAGGTGGCAGGTTTTAAAACAGATACCCTCCCCTGGCTTGTCCACCCATGTCCTTGGGGACAAGACTAGTAGACAAATTCTAATCACATTTCTTGCTTTTGATGGGTCTGTGGTGGCAAGTCTTATATTTAATATTCTTATTCTTGATTTCAAGTCGACATCAAGGTATAGAGGTCAGAATCTCATTGTTGCTTCCTTCTGCTTCAGGATCCTAAGAGAAGACATTTCTAGCCAGCCTAGGAAGATATTATACTTGACAATTTTGGTTTCCTCTTATCTTAATGAATAACTACTTATTTTAAAAGAGCTGTACTGAGTCCTCGTTGGGCCATGTCTAAGAACTAATATGTTCCTGCAAGAGCTATACTTTGAGTTCATCAATATCAAGAAGGATGTGGGTGAGAGAGAATTTATTCATTCAACATTATTGAACACTTTATGGCAGGCATCATCCTATGCCCTGGAGCCACATGAGTAAGAGACTTTGCCCTCAAAGAGAGCTCTGGCATAATTATAAAAAGATGTCAAAACTGCTATGTGGGAACAGAGGAGGGAGAGGTTTCACATTTGTGACAAACCTAATCTGTTAGTAATTCTGGCTCAGAATTGCCTGGATTATCTGGAGGGCAGACTTGAAAACCTCCACCCTAAAAATAAACCTAAAAGTAAGGAGTCCAGACACTTCTTGCAAGTACATGATACACACCAAGACATATTGTAATTAAAATGTCAAAAGTTAAAGATAAGGAGAGAATCTTAAAAGCAGCAAGAGAAAAACAACTTGTTATATATAAGGGAACTCCCATAAGACTATCAGATTTTTCAGCAGAAACCTTACAGGCCAGAAGGGAGTGGCATGATATATTCAAAGTGCTGAAAGAAAAAAATTCCAACCAAGAACATGTTACCTAGCAAAGTTATCATTCAGAATTAAAGGAGATATAAAGAGTTTTCCAGACAAGCAAAGCTAAAGGAGTTCATCACCACTAAACCAGCATTACACGAAATGTTAAAGGGACTTCTTTAGGCTGAAAAGAACGAGTGCTAATTAGTAACAGAAAACATATGAAAGTATAAATCTCACTGGTAAAGGTAAATATATAGTAAAGGTGGTGGATTAATCACTTATAAAGCTAGTATGAAGGTTAAAAGACAAAAGTAGTAAAAATAACTATAACTACAATAATTAGTTAAGGGATACACAAGAGAAAAAGATGTAAAATCATCTTTTTACATCAAAAACATAAAACAGAGGAGTGGTAAAAATGTAGAGCTTTAGAATGTGTTCAAGCCTAAGTTGTTACTACCTTAAAGTAGACTGTTATAAGTTGTTATAGGTAAGCCCAATGGTAACCACAAAGCAAAAACCTATAGTAGGTACACGAAAGAGAAAGGAATCTAAAGAAAGCATACCAGTAAAGAAAGTCATCAAACCACAAACAAAGAGAGCAAGATAAGAAGAAAGGAACAGAGAGGAACTACAAAACAGCCAGAAAACAGTTAACAAAATGGCAATAAGTATATACCTATCAATAATTACTTTCAACGTAAATGGACTAAATTCTCTAATCAAAAGACAGAGTGGCTGAATGGATTAAAAAAACAAGATCCATCTATATGCTGCCTACAAGAGACTCACTTCAGATGTAAGTGAAATGTAAGACACTTCACACCAGACTGAAAGTGAAGGGATGGAAAAAGATATTCCATGCAAATGGAAATGAAAAGAAAGCTGGGGGCCGGCCCTGTGGCTTGGTGGTTAAGTGCGCGCGCTGCGATGCTGGTGGCCCGGGTTCGGATCCCGGGTGCGCATCGAGGCACCACTTCTCCGTCCATCCTGAGGCCGAGTCCCACATACAGCAACTAGAAGGATGTGCAGCTATGACATACAACTATCTACTGGGGCTTTGGGGGGAAAAAAAAAAAATAAAATAAAATAAAATAAAATAAAAAAAAAGAAAAGAAAGCTGGGTTAGCTATACTTATATCAGACAAATAGACTTTAAAACAAAGACTATAAGAAGAGACAAAGAAGGGCAGTACCTTATGATAAAGAGGTCAGTTCAACAAGAGGGTCTAACATTTATACATATTTATGCACCTAACATAAGAGCACCTAAAAATATAAAGCATATTATAACAGACCTAAAGGGGGAAATAGACGGCAATACAATAATAGTACAGGACTTTAATACCTCACTTACATCAATGGATAGATCATCTAGTCAGAAAATCAATGAAGAAACATCAGCCTTAAACAACACATTAGACCAGGTGGACTTAACAAATATATACAGAACATTCCATCAAAAAGCAACAGGATACACATTCTTCTCAAGTGCACATGGAACATTCTCTAGGATAGATCAGATGTCAGGCCACAAAACAAGTCTTAAGAAATTTAAAAAGACTGAAATCATATCAAGCATCCTCTCCAATCACAATGGTATGAAACTAGAAATCAATTACGAGAAGAAAACTGGAAAATTTACAAATATGTGAAGACTAAACAACATGCTGAGGCCGGCCCAGTGGTGCAAGCAGTGAAGTGTGTGCATTCCGCTGCAGCGGCCCGGAGTTCGCCGGTTCGGATCCCGGCGCGCACCGACGCACCGCTTGTCAAGCTATGCTGTGGTGGCGTCCCATATAAAGTGGAGGAAGATGGGCATGGATGTTAGCCCAGGGCCAGTCTTCCTCAGCAAAAAAAAAAAGGAGGACTGGCAGGTGTTAGCTCAGGGCTGATCTTCCTCACAAAAAACAAAAACAAAAACAACATGCTACTAAACAACCAATGGGGTCAAAGAAGAAATCAAAAAATACCTTGAGACAAATGAAAATGGAAATAAAACTTAAAACTTATAGGATACAGCAAAAGTAGTTCTAAGAGGGAAGTTCACAGCAATAAATGCCTACATCAATAAACAAGAAAAATCTCAAACAACCTAACTTTACATCTCAAGGAACTAGGGAAAAAAAAGAACAAATGAAGCCCAAAGTTAGCAGAAGGAGGGAAATGACAAATATCAGAGCAGAAATAAATGAAACAGAGACTAAAAAGACAATAGAAAAGATAAACTAAGAGCTGGTTCTTTGAAAAGATAAATAAAATTGACAGACCTTTAGTTAGACTCATCAAGAAAAGAAGAGGACACAAATAAAAATCAGAAATCAAAGAGGAGATATTACAACTAATATCACTGAAATACAAAGGATTGTGAACAGTTATACACCAACAAATTGGACAACTTAGAAGAAATGGGTAAACTCCTAGAAACATACAACCTACCAAGACTGAGTCATGAAGAAACAGAAAATCTGAACAGACCGATTACTAGTAAGGAGATTGAGTCAGTAATCAAAAACCTCCCAACAAATAAAAGTCCAGGACTAGATGGCTTCACTGGTGAATTCTCCCAAACATTCAAAGAAGAATTTATACCAATCTTTCTCAAACTCTTCCAAAAAATAGGAAGGAACACTTCCAAACTCATTTTACAAGGCCAGCATTACCATGATACAAAAACCAGACACGGACATCACAAGAAAAGGAAATTACAAGCCAATATCCTTAATGAATATAGATGTGAAAATCCTCAACAAAATATTAGCAAACTGAATTCAACAATACATTAAAGGATCATACACCACGATCAAGTGGGATTTATTCCCAGGGATGCAAGGATAGTTCAACATTCACAAAGCAATCAGTGTGATATATACCACATTAACAAAATGAAGGATAAAAACCATATATATGATCATCTCAATAGCTGCATAAAAAGCATTTGACAAAATTCAACATCCATTTATGATAAACTTTCAACAAAGTGGGTATAGAGGGAACATCCTTCAACATCATAAAGGCCATACATGACAAGCCCACAGGTAACATCATACTCAATAGTGAAAAGTTCTAAGTTTTTCTTCTAAGATCAGGAACAAGACAAGCATGCCCGCTCTTGCCACTTTTTTTCAACGTAGTATTTGAAGTCCTAGCCAGAGCAATTAGGGAAGAAAAAGAAATAAAAGGCATCCAAATCAAAAAGGAAGAAGTAAAACTGTCATTTTTGCAGATGACATGATATTATATATAGAAAACCCTAAAGGCTCTACCAAAAACTGTTATAACTCATCAACGAATTCAGTAAAGTTGCAAGCTACAAAATCAATATACAAAAATCTATTATGTTTCTATACACTAATGATGAACTATCAGCAAGAGAAATTAAGAAAACCATCCCATTTACAAGTGCATCTAAAAGAATAAAATACCTAGGAATAAATTTAACCGAGGAGGTGAAAGATCTGTATATTAAAAACTATAGAATAAAGAAAGAAATTGAAGACACAAATAAATGGAAAGATGTTTCATGTTCATGGACTGGAAGAATTAATATTGTTAAAAATATCCATACTACCCCAAACGGTCAATAGATTCAGTGCAATCCCTATCAAAATTCCAAGGGCATTTTTCACAGAAATAGAACAAACAATCCTAAAATTTGTATGGAACCATGAAAGACCCAGGCAATCTTGAAAAAGAAGCATAAAGCTGAAGGCATCATGCTCCCTGATTTCAAATTACATTACAAAGCTATAGTAACCAAAACAGTATTGTATTGGTATAAAAACAGACACAAAGATCAAGACACAAAGATCACATAGAGAGCCCAGAAATAAACTCACACATATATGGTCAATTAATTTACGACAAAGGTGTCAAGAATATACACTCGGGGTGGGGGTGGGGGGGCAGCCCAGTGGCATAGCGGTTAAGTGTGCGCGCTCCGCTGCAGCGGGCTGGGATTCGCAGGTTCGGATCCTGGGCACAACACCGCTTGTCAAGGCGTGCTGTGGCGGCATCACATGTAAAGTAGAGGAAGATGGGCATGATGTTAGCCCAGGGCCAATCTTCCTCAGCAAAAAGAGGACTGGCATCGGATGTTAGCTCAGGGCTAATCATCCTCACACACAAAAAAGCAAAATTAAAAAAAAAAAATAGGGGCCAGCCTGGTGGCATAGTGGTTAAGTGCACGCACTTTGCTTCGGCGGCCCGGGGTTCACAGGTTCGGATCCCGGCACGCACCGATGCGCTGCTTGTCAAGACATGCTGTGGTGGCATACCATATAAAGTAGAGGAAGATGGGCACAGATGTTAGCCCAGGGCCAATCTTCCTCAGAAAAAAAAGAGGAAGACTGGCATCGGATGTTAGCTCAGGGCTAATCTTCCTTACCAAAAAAAAAAAAAAAATTAATAAAAAAAGAATATACAGTGGAGGAAGGTCAATATCTTCAATAAATGGTTTTCGGAAAACTGAACCATGGTCTTACACTGTACAAAAAATCAACTCAAAATGGATTAAAGACTTGAGTGTAAGACCTGAAACCATAAAACTCCTAGAAGAAAAGACAGGCAGTAAGCTTCTTGACATCAGTCTTGGTGTTGAATTTTTAAATCTGACTCCAAAAGCAATGGCAACGAAAGTGAAAATAAACAAATGGGACTACGTCAAACTGAAAACCTTTTGCACAGCAAAAGAAACTATCAACAAAATGAGAAGGCAACCTAATGAATGGGAGAAAATATTTTCAAATCATATATCTGATAAGGGGTTAATATGTAAAATTTATAAAGAACTCATAAAACTCAACAGCAGAAAAACAATCTGAATAAAAAATGAGCAGAGGGGCCAGCCCCATGGCTTAGCGGTTGAGCGCGTGTGCTCTGTGCTCCGCTGCTGGCGGCCTGGGTTCGGATCCCAGACGCGCACCGACGCACCGCTTGTCCGGCCATGCTGAGGCGGGGTCCCACATACAGCAACTAGAAGGATGTGCAATTATGACATACAACTATCTACTGGGGCTTTGGAGAGAAAAGGGGGAAAAAAAAAAAAAGGAGGAGGATTGGCAACAGATGTTAGCTCAGGGCTGGTCTTCCTCAGCAAAAAGGAGGATTGGCATGGATGTTAGCTCGGGGCTGATCTCCCTCAGGAAAAAAAAGAAAAATGAGCAGAATATCTAAATAGACATTTTCCAGAGACGACATACAGATGGTCTGTATGAAAAGGTGCTCAGCATCACTAATCGTTAGGGAAATACAAATCAAAACCACAGAGATATCACTTCACATCTGTTAGAATGGCTGTTATCAAAAAGACAAGCAATAACAAGTGTTGATGAGGATGTGGAGAAAGGGAACCCTTGTGCACTGTTGGTTGGAATGTAAATTGGTGCAGCCACTATGGAAAACAGTATGGAGATTCCTCAAAAAAACTAAAAATAGAACTACCATATGATCCAGCAATTCCACTTCTGGGTATTTATCTGAAGAAAATGAAGTCATTAATTGGAAAAGATATATGCACCCCCCATGTCCACTGCAGCATTATTTACAATAGCCAAGACATGGAAACAACCTAAATGTCCACTGATGGATGAATGGATACAGAAAATGTGGTACAGTCGTGCACTACATAATGACGTTTCAGTCACCAATGAAACACATATACAATGGTGGTCCCATAAGATTAGTATAATATAACCCAGGTGTGTAGTAGGCTATACCATCTAGGTTTGTGTAAGCACACTCTATGATGTTTGCACAACTAGGAAATCACCTAATGATGCATTTCTCAGAATGTATGCCCATCGTTACGCAACACGACTGTATATATACAATGGAATATTATTCAGCCATAAAAAATGAAATCTTGCCATTCGTGAAACATGGATGGACCTTGAGGGTATTATACTAAGTGAAATAAGTCAGACAGAAAAAGATAATTACCATATGATCTCACTTGTATTTGGAATCTAAAAAAAACCCAAAAAACAAAAACCAAGCTCATGAATATAGAGAATAGACTGGTGGTTGCCTGATGCGGGGAGTGGGGGGATAGGTGAAACGGGTCAAAAGGTACAAATTTCCACTTATAAAATGAATAAGTCATGGAGATGTAATGTACAGCATGATGACTATAGTTAATAATACTATATTACATATTTGAAAGTAGCTAGGAGAATGGATCTTGAAAGTTCTCATCACAAGAAAAAAATTTTGTAACTATGTATAGTGACAAATGTTAACTGGACTTACTGCGATCTTTTTGCAACATACACAAATATCAGGTCATTATGTTGTACACCTGAAACTAATATAATGTTATGTCACTTATACCTCAATAAAAAAATAAATTAAAAAAATAAAAAGATTAAAAAAACCCCAAAAAACCTAGAAGGCAGACTCCTCTGCTTTACTCCATAAGCAGAAGAGGGAAGAGGTCACTATTTTCCATGCAACTCCAATAAACCTAACTATTCAGCATCCTAGCCCTTAGCTGGTCAGAAAAAACAATTTAAAAGGGGTTGAGGTGGTCCTATGAGAAGGCACTGTTCAGAGAAGGGGCAGCTGAAAGAGCAGAAGCCAGGGTAGAGTCAGAGAAAGAAGTCAACCCCAAAGCACAATAGACTGAGGCACTTCTCCAAGAGGCAAACAGCCTCTTGAGACTTCCAGGGTTTGTGAATAGCACAGGACAGTGATTATCTATAATAACGATGCACTGAGTATCTGCTGAGCTGATACTGTTCTAGATGCTCCTCTCAGTGGTCTATATCTTCTATTTTAAAAGTAGGAAAATGGATGAAACACTTTAGATTTTCAACAAAAAGTGATTATGTAAATCTCATTTCCTGACTTTTTGCTTCTTAAAGATTTGAATTTTTTGTTCCCATGGAAGAAGTAAAGAAGAGGTCACTAGATGTGGCAGTGAAGAACAGTAGGCCACTTGGCTCACACAGAAGGAAGGAGCTAGGAAAAGTAAGTACAAGAGGGGCTGCTGGTAGTCTGCCCCTCCTGGTTCTCTAACTAGAGTTCACTGGTGGAATGCACCCTCGCAGAAACTCTGATGGGATCATCTGGTTGTTACCAGAACTGACTTCAAGGAGGGTATAGCCTCATTGGGAGGTTCTTTGTTTTGTGTGTGTTTTTTTAAAAATATTCTTGCAACTAAAGAATACAGATGTATAAATTAATATGATAAACCCTATTTTAACAAAGTCAAGAATCTATCCAAATTCATCATTGCACAAGTATTTGAACGTCTATGGTATTAAGTATTGTTTTGGTAAATACAGCATTGTGTGAAGTTTGGATCTCATGTCAAGATATTTGTGGTGATGGGATTTTACTTTAAGTAGAAGTAGAAGAAATATAATCCTCAAGATGCCACGGAGAGACAAAAAAGAATGATATTTGTATAATACTTTGCAGTTGTATTTTAATAAACATCTTATACTCTTTAAAGCTTACTTCTATGAAGTAGGTGATATCCCCATTTTTACAGCTGAGACAACTATGTGTATCTTGCTTAAAATTACGAATTAGTTAATGAGTAAAGGCAAGTTGTTCTCTCTTTCTATATCATTCATAAATAAATTTCTGAGGTTTAACTCCAAACAGCAATTTACCTTTTCCCAGGACACTGAGGTCAGTGTCTGTACTGTCCTTCTGGAGAGGTTCTGTGTTGAAAGCCAAAGGAAAAAGAGCCCCTGCTCAAAACTCCAAAACCCAAGGAGGCCATTTTTGTGATCAATTCCATTTATCCCAATATGTTTCCATTTAATGCAGTTTTTTGGAAGGGAACTGATTATTTTTGATCGTTTAGGTACTGATTGACTTATCAAAAGAAGATCTGATTAAGGGCTTCTCACAATGGTAAGTGAGCCCTTTCATTTTATCATGTTAATCTGCTACTCAAGACATTGTCTCAGATGGTTGCCCATATTCTCTCTCCAAAGTTCTTCCCCTTTCAGTACATTTTTCAGCTCCTTTGGCTGTCAAGGAGGGAGACAGATGATCACCTTTACTTACGGCTTTACTGCCTGCAGATCTCACTTACCTGAAGGACCTCTGTAAACTCTAGCCTGAGCCCTGGCTGGCCAACTTACAGAGATGGGTTCTCCTGGTCCCGCAGAGACCCAGGCAGGCTAGACTAGGCCACTTGTCCTGATGCTGCCACAACACTTCCCTCAGTACTAACACAAGTTCAACCCCAACTGTCTTACAGGTATGAGCTGACTCCAGATGGACAGCCCAGAAGTTGATGATGAGCACCATTATCACCGTTAGACTAAAATCTTGTACATATGTATATTTTGTAATTTAAATTAGAACAGCTATTTGAAAATATATACATACATTCTTGTGTGAAATTTAACTAAGACTGGATAGTATTAGGAAGAGGTAAACATGTAAAAGCAAGAACCACTCTCTCGGTTGGATTTAATTGTTCAAATCCAGAAAGAAATGGGGTATTCATGCCTAATAAATTATCAAAACCTCAGGGGTGATTTTTCACTTTTGGTAGGTAATTACAGACCATTTGACTTAGGACTTGCCTGAATGTATGTGTCAGAATCCTCGTGTCTCAGACATAGAGGGTAAGGGAGGTCTGTTCCTGGAGCAGCTACCAGTATTCCTGGGCAGTAACTGACCAAGGGAGGAGGCTTCTTTTATGGGAGTAAAAAGTGACCCATACCAAAAGTGCCAAGAGCTGACACTACCTAAGCCCTTCTGCTGCCCCTCTGGTACTTCTCTGCCTAGAGATTTGTTCCTGTATCTAATTTAGAACTAAACTGTACTTTTCCGATGGCAACAATGTTACAGTGATATACCTAAAACCTAGAGTTAAAATCTCCGCTGGGGATTTTAACTGTGAGATGGCCTGGAACCAAACTCTCAGCATGTGGCATGATTTCCATAGGAAAATGCAAGCCGAGTTCCAAACCCAGGCCCATGTCTGCACTCCCAGAGCAGAGCGCTGGAGACTGCTGCAGAGTGCCAGGGAGGAAAAGGGGCTTTTCATTTTCTCTTAGACAGGTTTGGGAATTCTCCACTTCACTTCTCTAAGAGACGTCTGGTTCACCTAAATAACATGTTAAAAGCAAAATATGTAAATTGTATGTTTAAACAAGTGCCTCTTTTGCATTTGGAACTTTATAAAACCAAATACTCTTGTCTTCTCTGAAGTTCCTAAACCTACTGTTGAGGTGACATCCTCTTTTTCCACTCAAGCCACACCCCCATGCCATCAGTTTCCTCTCCCCACCACAGCCTTTACTGCCAAATTTCTGAAAAATGGTGACATCTTAAAATTCTTGTCATGTTACTCTCACTTATAAACTATCTATGATTTCTTGTTTTCTGCAAGATTAAAACCCACTCCTCAATTTGTTTTTTAGACCTAACATAATTTGGTCTCCAGTTTTTTGCTACTTTATTCATGTGCAGATGCTCTATTCCAGAATAATCCAAATGTTATATCCTGCCTACTCAAATCCTACTCGCCTCTTAAAGGCCTATTTTAAACCCACCTCCTCCATGAAGCCAGTCCACACTGAAATGGCCTCTCCTCACCACCTATAGCATTTACTGTCAATACTGTGCATTTTTCATTTTAACAATTCCCTGCCTTGTAACATTTAATTTTAAAAAAGGTTTATCAGGTATCTACTAAGGTCACATGCTAAGCAATTACTTCTGTTGTGTCTGACATTTAATGTTTGTTTACTCTCCAATTGAACTACAAGCTACTTGAATTGATTTTCACCCACATCATCCAAGACAGCATATGCTAAATACATGGTAGATATGTAATAAAATTTGTTTCTGCTGAGATTTCTATTTTGAATGACAAAATAAGGCAACTGATGCCTGTCCTGTCTGCCTGACAATGGCATTGTAATGTTCACTAAATAGACAAGTGCCTTGAAGACATTACGGTAAAACATATACAGAGAAGTATAAGGGAAGGCATCATATATCACATCCTGAATATCACCAACCCTAAAACAACTACCAAGATGGCAGACAAAGCAGACAAGTGAAAACCTATCCTTCCTCTTCCAAACACATAGAAAACGTAGTTAAACCATGAACAACATTTATTTTAAACATGGTTAATTAAAAAGTAACACAGGTAAAGTTCCTGGCGATGGCCCAAAGAGAAAGTCTAGGCAGTGTGTAAGAATAAAAGGGGAGTGTAAGTGTTGAAGGGAACCAGAACATTAGCATACACCAGAGAGGAGGCAAGACTACTGTGTGAGGGACGAGGAGCCTGAGAAGATTTGTGTCATCAGAAAACACCTTGGCTGCCAATAAGGACAAGGAATTGGTTGTCAGCAGTGGGTGGAAACAATCAGCTAATCTGTGTACAGGAACACAGGGTCTGAAGTTACACACAATTGACTTGGTGTGGAAACCCCCAAACCTTGATACTAATATGGAAATTGGTTTAGAAGCTGGAACCATGTGAAGCCCTGACAGAGGCAACCACAAAACTGGCCAGGGTTGCCACTCCTATCCAGGGCACAGGGACTACCACAGCAGATAATCCCCACTAAAGGCATGCTCATAGGCAAAAACTGTAAAACAAAAACAATTTTAAAAATATGCAACACATGGGAATACTAAACTGAAAAGCGGCCACTAGATGTATTTCAGCAAGAAAGAAAATGTAACATGAAGGCAGAAGTGGCATGTGGGAAACAAGAAAGAGCAAAGAAATCCATAAAATACATTAGTAAACCTAAGTAAGTCTTAATTGTTTAAGAAATATAAACAAGTAAGTAAGCAACCAAAAATTTTCGCAAAAACTGGGTGCAAAAACACAGTGGCACTAAAATGCTGGTACTAACATTTAAGAAGGGACATGAGGCTGGCTCGGAGGAAAGTTAAAGTGTTCAAGTCCTTACCTTATTTAGGAAACTAAAGATAGTTCTATATTTTTAAAATAAATTATAAATAAGTATATGTCAGTTACTAGTTCATCACCTCTTGGCTCCAAAGTAACCCATCTTTCTCCTGCTTTGACAGTGGAGACACCACAGACTCAGCTCCTTTGCTAGGGGCTTGATGTTAGGCTTTGCCAGTAGAGGGCATTGGAGAGACACTGCAAGGCCACAGCAAGAAGGAGCTTTTCTTTCTTCTACTCTTCTGCTGTTTTCCATGGCAGCCAGCTGACTGTCATGTGGGGGCTTGGTCACTTAAGCACCTAAGCACCCTTTACCCTTAGCTCATACCCTTGGGATCTGCCACCAAAACCACGGCCTTCATGGTTCAGCACCAGCCAGCACCCTCTGGCAAGTTCCTTTGTCACAAGTGGGTTGCCTGTTCCTATGGCAGCCAAACCTCTCCTCAGAGGTTTAAATCTCAGCCTGGTGGGAAGGCGCTCTTCTAAATTTCTAAGTTCCTTTCTTGTTCACTCTGCTTCATCCCTGGGAGTAGTATCTGCTTTCTGAAGTTGCTACTATGTACCCTTTAGAGTCCTCTTTTATCCCCTTTTAAAGTAATCAACTACCTCTTACCAGTTAGCACATCTTGTTTTAAAGTTTTCCTGTTTGGCTACCTATGCAATGTGGTTTCTGTCTCCTGACTGGACCTTGACTGACAAAGTATATATTAATATAAATTTTAAGATAATCACTAAATTAAAGTAGCAATACAGCTGAAATATAAAACTTCCAAATCAGTAGAGGAGAAGAAAAGGTAATAGGGAAAAGTCAACTCCCCATCAAAAAAATAAGAGGAAAGAAAAAGCATAGAAAAATGTGATAAACATAAAATACAAAAGAAGAGTCAAAAGACCTATAAATATATGTGTAAGCACAATAAACCCACTATTAAAACGTAGAATGTCAAATTCCATGAAAATAATAAGTACAGCTTTTTGCTGTTTACAAGAGGTCTACTTCAAACACATAGAGGTGTTGAAAATAAAAAGATGAAAAAGATATACCCAAGGATAGGTTAGATTTCTGTTTATAATAATGGTAGCAAACATCATATTTAATGGTGAAACATTAAAAGATTTCCTTTTGAAACGGAACAAGAAAGGCCTGCTTCCTATCACCATCTCTACTCAGTACTGTATTTGTGGCCTGTGTAGTAAGGCAACAAAAAACAGGTATATATCTGACCAAAACTGTTGTTATGTGTAGATGATACGATCATAAGAATAAAAATCCAAAATAATCTAAAGATAAATTGCTAGAATTAAAGCTTTTAGCAAGATTGCTGGATACAAAGTAAATATTAAAAAATCAATTGTAGTTCTTTGTTCCTGCAACAGTTAGAAAACGAAATTTTAAAAAGATAATTTATAAATGTATAAAGGGTCATACTATTAATACAGTCATGCGTCACTTAATGACGGGGATACGTTCTGAGACGTGCGTTGTTAGGTGATTTTGTTGTTGTACAAACATCATAGAGTGTACTTACACAAACCTAGACGGTACAGCCTACTAGACACCTAGGCTATGTGGTACTAATCTTATGGGACCACCGTCATATATGTGGATTGTCACTGACGGAAACATCATTACGTAGCGTGTGACTGTACATCTAACAACAATCCCTATGGGAAAATTATAAAACTTTATTAAGAAATGTTAATGGAAAGCTATGCCATGTCTGGGGTTGGAAGACCCAACACTGTAGATGCCAATTTCCCCTATTGATCTGTGTTTAATGAAAGCCCAATAAAAATCCCAATAGGTTGTGTGTGTGTGTGTGTACACACCTTGATAAGCAGATTCAATGTACATGTAAATACAAAGGGTAAGAAGCCTTCAACTGGATACCAAGGTTTATTTTAAAGTTACAATAACAAAGACAGTGTGGTACTAGTGCAAGGAGAGACAACTGAACCAAAAGAACAGAAAAGAGAGCCCTGTATGGGCTCATTCACACATAGTCAATTTATGACAGAGGTAGCATTGTGAGCGGAGGGGAAAGGATCGATTTTTCAGTCAATGGTGCTGAGACAATTGAGTATTCATGAGGGAAAAAATAAAATGGTCCTTTACTCATATCACATTCAAAAATCAAACAACTCCTGGGCTGGCCCCGTGGCTTAGCGGTTAAGTGCACGCGCTCCGCTACTGGCGGCCTGGGTTCGGATCTCGGGCACGCACGACGCACTGCTTCTCTGGCCATGCTGAGGCCGCGTCCCACGTACAGCAACTAGAAGGATGTGCATCTATGACATACAACTGGGGCTTTGTGGGGAAAAAAAGGAGGAGGATTGGCAATAGATGTTAGCTCAGAGCCAGTCTTCCTCAGCAAAAAGAGGAGGATTAGCACGGATGTTAGCTCAGGGTTGATCTTCCTCACAAAAAAAAAAAAAAAAAAATCAAACAACTCCAGGTGTATGAGATTAAATGTGGAAGGCAAAACTATACAACTTGTGACTAGGGAAAGATTTCATAAGACACAAAAAGCAGTAACTATAAAGGAAAAGACCATACATCTCTACATTAAAATTAGGATCTTCTGTTCATAAAAAGAAACTATAGGAAAATGGAAAGAGGACACAGAATGGAAGAAGACATCTGCAACACATGCAACTGCCAAATGGCTCATGTCCAGAATACATAAATAACTCTTACAAATCAATACAAAAAGACAGTCCAATAGAAAAATAAACAAAAGACACAAATAAGCACTTCAAAAAAGAAATACAAATGGCCAGTAAACAAAGGAAAAGATGCCTAACTTCATTGGTAATCAGGGAAATAAACATTAAAACCACAATAATAGCTCTATACACCACACTGGCAAAAAATAAAAAATCTGACTTACCAAGAACTGGTCAGGATGTGGAAAAGCAGGAACCCTCAGACCTTGATGGAAGGAGTATAAATTGGTACAAATACTTTGGAAAATAGTTTGGCATTTTCTTCTAAAGTTGAAGCTACACATTCCCTATTAAAGTCGCCACACTGTACAACCCCAGAGGCTCCATTTATATTGTTATCTAGAGAAACAGTACTAGCCTCAGTTGGACAGTACACAGCCTCTGTGGCTGTATACAAAAGTGTTTTCCCCTAGGATTCAGCAATTTACTTGTTGGATATTGATTCTAGAAAACCTGCACACCAGTGTACAAGGATACATATTACAAGAATGTTCATAGCAGCAGTTCACAATAGCCAAGAACCAGAAACAACCCAAATGTCAATCCCCAGTAGAACAGATAAATGAATTGTGGAATATTCATAATACTAGACAGCAATGAAAAAAGTGACCTGGACCTACACACAACAACATAGATGAATAATATGAACATAATATTGAACAAAAGAAAAAACATTAAAAAAGAATATATAATATGATTCCATTTTTATAAAGTTCAAAAACAGGCAAAACTGTCTTGGTTTAGGCATACATACAAAAGTGACAAAACTATTTAAAAAAACAAGGAAGTGATTAATGTAATCAACTAATGGTTACCTCTTGGGGAAAGGAACATATGGAGGGCAGGAGAGGCCTCTTGGCATGCTGGGGATGTTCTATTTCTTGGTTGTTGCATGGGTGTTCACTTTATAAGCATTCATTACACTTGACGTTTATGGTTTATACCATTTTAATATGTGTTATATTTTACAATAAAAAAGATTAGTGAAATAAATGAAAAAGAAAAAAGGAAAAAGAAAGGACAAAATTGCATTCAAGGCAAAAAGCATGAGTAGAAATAAAGAGAGATTAATCAAGAAGATACTATCAACTATGAATTTATAAGTGCTTATAAAACAGGCTTAAAATATATAAAAAAAAATTTGACAAACCCACAGAGAAATTTCAGTATCTCCCATAAACTAACAAATCAAGTAGACAAAAAAATGGATAGAGGGGGCCGGCCTGGTGGTGTAGCGGTTAAGTTCACGCGCTCCACTTCGGCAGCCCGGGGTTCACGGGTTCGGATCCTGGGCACAGACCTAGGCACTGTGCATCAAGCCATGCTTACATGGCGTCCCACATCTAGAAGGATGTACAACTACAACATACAACCATCTACTGGGGCTTTGGGGAGGAAAAAAAGGAAAAAAGGAAGAAGACTGGCAACAGATGTTAGCTCAGGGCCAATCTAAAAAAAAAAATTGATAGAAATGAAGCAGATTTAAACCACGTAATAGCACTATATATCAAATAGAGATTAGACTTTTTATTAAAGCACATGTGGAACACGTATAAAATTCAATACCACAAAGACCATATTCTCTGACTACAATGCAATAAAATTAGAAAAAAATAATAAAAACCTAAGAAATCCTACATATTTTCAGACTTAAGACTTCTAAACTTCCACTTTTAACCAAGATAGAGTAACAGAAACTGAAGCTACCCATCTGCCTGTACCAACCAAAACTAAAATCAAAACAAAACAAAAAACAGGAAAAATACATGCAAACAACAGTTTTCAAGACACTGGATATCAGGCACATGTCCAAACAAAGACCTGAATATAAATGTTCATAGCAGTTTTATTTGTCGTAGTCAAAAATTGGAAATAACCCAAATTTCCATCAACAGGTAAATAGATAAATTGTGGTATATTCATACAATGGAATACTACACAGCAATAAAAAGGAATGAACTGTTAATAAACGGAACATGCAAAAAAAAATCTCAAATTATGCGAAGTGAGAGAGGCCAAACAAGAAAGAGAATATACTGTATGATTCCATTTAGATAAAATCCCATAAAATGCAAACTAGTCTATAGCGATGAAAGACAGATCAGCTGATGCCTAGAGATGGCAGGGGATAAGGAGGCAAAGAGATACATTTTGGAGTGATAGGTATGTTTATTATTTTGATTGTGGTGATGGTTTCACAGGTATATATATATGTCAGAACTTATCAAATTGTATACTTTAAATATCTGTTGTTCATTACATGTCACTACATCAATAAAATTGTAAAAAAATCAAGAGCTAAACAATAATTGTAGTTTTTTACTTATATCTTAAATAATTAAAACTGGATAAAAGTAGACCCAATAGAGAGGGCCTAAGATTGTTCCTTCTAGTGGCACTGTCTCCGCTCAGTGACCCTCCAAAAAACTCCAAGGCCTCTGAGGAAGAGTTTGAAAACCTTTGTTTTAAACTAAGTGTTAACCACAAACTAGCTGACAAAATTTCGATTAATATAATTTTTAAATTACATTTCTTCCTTTCAAATGTTGTTATAATTTATGTCTCATAGCAATTTCTTGGAGTAATCTAATCAACTCAGAGTATTTACATTATTGAATATCCAAATACTTTTTCTACACACCCCTCAAAGACACAGGTTCTTTCACGAATTGTGGTCTAGTGTTTAGAAATGTAATTGCAGGCTAACAAAACAAAGAATTTTAAATCTAGAAAGAACTTAAGACATATTTTATGTCTAATCCCTAAGGTCACAACACCAAGGATCTGGATGCTTATCTACTGACATTTACTCTCTCCATTCCACCATGCTGCTTCCTGGAAACTCTACAATGTTCTACATGACAACAAACAAGAATAACTGAGAAGTCTTACAGAAGTCTTGCCACTTATAAATGGGGTAGGGGGAGTGGTGGTAACCCAAACTGGCTTGCACTCATAGATGTGAGGCAGAACACTGGTCCCTTAAGAAAATCAGACTGAATATTGTGAAGAGAAAATAAGTAGAAGGCAGCAAGAAAAGTACTTATGTAAAATGCAGCAAATGTGAACCAGTTGTCCAAGGAAGGCTCAGCCTAGTAAGAGAATATGACTCATTATTTGTGAGTAATACAAATAAGTCACTGAGGACACTTAAGTTTGGAAATTCTTTACAAAAATTTTATTTAAGATCTCATGCCCTTATAAAAAGTACATTACATCAAGATTGCAAAAAAGACACTTTTTTATAAAAGAGAGACTATCTACTATCTATCTACTCATCTACTTTACCTCATAATTCATTTCCTACCCTAAAACAATGATAAAACACTTTTATCTTCTTCCTTTTCTTCCTCCTGCTTTGAAAGGGCAAGTGCCAGGAGGGATATAATAGAAGGTGCCATTTCCTTGCCAAGAAAGCAATAGCTTCCTACTGGCTGGACTTAAGAGAGCCATTGGCATTCCTTGTTCCCAGAACCAAAAAGGTCACTAAACCCTGAACTTAAATATAACCTTTCTGTTACTTGCAATCTCTCTCCCTGAGATTCTCTTTTACTCACACGCTATACTTTAAAACAATCTTAAATTTTAGGCACTCAAGAATTGCTTAAGAAATGATTAAAGGATCTAAAGTTAACTTTATACTTTAACTTAGCAACTGTTTTCTATATAGGAATCTCAAAGTTAATAAAAATTATATGAATGGAGAAGGACCCAATTCTAAGAAAGGGATGAATTCTGAGAGTAAATACATTTTTATAACCCTTGTCTCAAAGTAAGATCAATCCTACAAAATACTTAGAATGTTAAGAATGCAATTTACACAGTAAAAATGATTTGATTTGTTTTCAGTAAGAAAGTACTTTTAATTTCTTTACTGCAGGTACAATGGCATCCAAGTCATCAATTTCTGTAACAGAGAAACAAGAATAATAAAAGAGTAGCTTTATCTAGTGATAGGCTCAGATGAAATGAGAATCTCTATGCAAAAGCAAATGTCAAACACGAAGGCAATACTAGTGCTTTCATGCACATGAAATTTCTGTCCAATATAAGCATATCACTGATTCAGACACAGATGTCTCACAGGGCACCTGTTTGTACAGCTACCACCTACCTACAAGCAGCCTCTGACTCAGATATAATCTCATTAGCAGTGTGCTCTTATTAACAGATCCTACTGGCCACATTTATGATATTATGTTACTGCCTCTTTAAATCTCTGTAATTACATGGGTGAGTTTACACAGTGAAATCTCAGGTAGAGGCTGTCTCTTTCATGGGTCCCCATCTGAGGACTTAGGGATTTCTTCTCACGGAACATAGTCCTATCCTTAATTCTCTTGGAAAGATTTCTCATTAGTAGGGTCACTCTTGGGTCTACCTTTTAGGATGAAATATATCGACCTAATAAAAGGTGTGAGGGTTCACCAAGTACAAATCTCAGGTGCAATGTATCACAGAGCTTAGCCAGGTCCAGCTCACCAGATAAACCAGTTTAGGTTCTTCTCTGCCAGGTTCTTTCTGAATTTGATGTCTCTTCCTAAGACTATCTTCTCCCAACCAGCCTAACTTAGAATTCACTGTCTGAAAGCTCCTTGCCACTGAGGAAGCAAGGTCCTTTCTCTCATAATCTAGACTCCAGCCCTACTTAAGGTAAGCACCAGTGGCAAGTTCTCTAGATTCACACCACTTTTTTCTAGATTATTCAGAAATAAAACAGCTAGGCCACTGTTCATAAACTCATTTCCTTTACATAAAACATGCTTCCTTGAATTCTACCTCTCTCCCTCCATGTTTAGCTGGATTTTCATTGTTCTTTAGCCTAAACACATGACTCATGATGTTTAAGCTCTTGACTTCAGTCAGAATACTTGTCTGTATTCACTTATAAATACAGCACCAAGATGTAGGAAAGGAAAAAATACAAGCAAATCTACAACAGAGAATTTGGTTCATACCTTACACCGTGGTAAGGTACAAGATCAAGTTATAACCTGACCCCCCCCCATTCTGAAATCACACCTGTTTTCTCACTAAATGAGAAATCTCCCTTACAAATAAACCTCACAGAGAAGGATCTTGGCTGATATGAGAATTTTCACAGCTAATCACATCACGCACATGAGAAAAAGAAAGACCTTCTCCATATCTGATATTCAGTACACCACTCTGTAGTTCTAGATGCTTAATATGACATCCAGTAATAATAAAGAGTCATGTTTGCCGTAACAGATTTAACTTTCCCATGGTTAAATATAACATTTAACTCCAGAATTTCAACTATGACCAAAATACGGAGTTCATCTGCAGGACTTGGCTTTTTGAAGCAAGTGATCCCACATGAACCATGCCGAGTATCATAATATCTGAGAGGAAATTTCTATAGAAGATTTCTGAAATAAGTGTTACTAGCACATCTATTAAAATGTCTATTAATGATGAGAACCTCACTGTTTAAGGTAATTGCTATCCCAAAGCAACTAAAATCATATTAATCCTTCAAACAAGGCTTTTTGGGATATGAAGCAACACATTTCTACAACTTCATGTGTCATCTTAAGTTCAAGTTTCATTGATCTTCTGTTTGGATGATGTATCCGTTGGTGTAAGTGGAGTGTTCAAGTCCCCTACTATTATTGTATTACTGTCTATTTCCCTTTTTGTGTCTGTTAATAATTGCTTTATATATTTAGGTGCTCCTACGTTGGGTGCGTATATACAAGTGTTATATCCTCTTGTTGGAGTGTTCCCTTGATCATTACATAATGCCCTCTTTGTCTCTTTTTACAGTTTTTTTGTTGGCTTTACCATCCCCATTTCTTTTTCTTTTTCTTAATTTTTTGTTTATTGCAGTAACATTGGTTTATAACATTGTATAAATTTCAGGTGTACATCATTATACTTCTATTTCTGCATAGATTACATCATGTTC